GTCAAGCCGGGGATCACAAAACCGCAGACAGAGCTCTACAAATCACCAGAGGCTGCAGATTCACATATTTGTTTTTAAAGGCCAAATGCTCATTATGTAAACATGTAGGAACAATATTAATTTAGTATTAGTAACGTCTTTACAAGTATTGGTGTATTTTCTCCGTTGAGTCTAATCCACCAATGAGAGAAGCCATTTGCAGACATATCGGCCAATGAATGATAAGTGGGCGTTCCTGATGTGGGCGTCTTGTTTTACGGAAACGCCTTTCATTGCAATTCGACTCTATTGCAATGAATGGGAGTGAATGGAGCTCAACGGCTGAAAATGAAAAGTTAAAATAGTTTCTAATCTCTGAACCAGAACTGTCCTTTAATTTTAGACAGTAGGAGGATTTATTTCACTAAAAAGCAGACAAATCTCACCTGTATGTTTCCTTTATTCTACAGCAAACGGGTTTTGGGCAGCAGGAGGCGGGCTTTACTGCTACTGAGTGATGATTGATTGGCGAGCGGAGCAGCTCATTGGCTGTTCGCGCTCACTGACGCCATGGACGTACATGAGGCGCTGTTTTAAACTCCTATAGCTCGAGTTTAAAAGCTCTTAAAAATATAACAGCAGTGTTAAAACGTTTTATGCTGTTCTGTGTTCAGGAAATGAATGTATACTTTTACATTAAAATGTTGAAGCATTTATAAACTATGATTTTACTCAAAGGCTCCATATCAACCCATTCATTATGGACTCACTCGGGAGCGCCCTCCAACGTCTGAGAAAACCGGAAGACATTGCAGAGCGGTAATTCTCCTTTCTACAAGTTCTTTGCGAACACTGCTCCCAAAGACCGCGAGGTGTCTGTGTATATACCAGCCCCCAGGGACCCCCAGCTGGCACTGTACATGTCTGCTCCCGTCTTAATGACATACCCCACAAAAAAAAGAAAAAACAAGGTCTTCTCCTACACAGGCTACAAAGCTTACATAGCATACTGATCATGACATGCTAGCTCTTAAATGTATGATAATAAATGATTATAATATACCACAGTGGCCCTAACCTGTTCAGCAATAAATTAAATACAAGCAAAAAATTAAATATCATTTTGTAGTAATACATACATACAACTATTCATGTTTTAAAAACATGTCTGACATTTGGATGTGTTGGTTCTGTTTTATTGATGGACAAAATAGATGGGGGTTGATGAATTATGTACCGTTTCACTCACCAGCTCTTTCTCTGTCACGCAGCGTTGCCAGATACGTGGTGTTCCTAAAAAATGGCAGTTAGTCTGAAAGTGCGGAAATTATGGTGTCGGTTGGTGTGTTTTCTGCTTGCACTGCCTTTTAAAGTAATTGCAGTCGCAAAAAAAAAACATTTGAAGAAACTAATCATCATATAAATGTGTATTGATCTCAGTTCTGAATAGCTGGCAACCCGTTCTCTTTCTGAAAGCAGCAGAGCAGCAAGAGAGTAAACACAGCCGTATACTGTGACCACGGCAACAACCCAGAACATAGAACTATGAGTTTCTATCCAATCACAGTGCGCGACAGCGTCTGCGCCCTCTCAGATTTTTTGATGTACGCGACCAGGTCTGCAACTGTAGATATAGCTACATACATATCTATGTATATCTATGTCTACGACACCCTAGCAGACACAATATTTGTCTCTTTTTTACGACACTTTTGTTGAGCGACGCTTGTCGCCTGGACTATAAATGGGCTTTTACATAACATCATATCCGGAGCTGAGGGTGCGGGGCTGATATACAGTATGATGAATTTTGTATATTTGCAGCTTTTCAATTGTATATTTCTTTCTGACACATGATTAAATGCAGTGTTTTGGTCACACTGTCAGTTGGGCTTGTTTGGTGTGTGAGGTGGAGATTCACAAACATTCTGACGATCATGCTTTAAAAGTAGCTAAAAAGTAGTCACTGCTTTTCAAAAAGTGGCTAAAAAGTAGGCACTATTTTTCAAAAAGTAGCTAAAAAGTAGTGCACTGCTTTTCAAAAAGTAGCTAAAATGTAGTGCACTGCTTTTCAAAAAGTAGCTAAAAAGTAGTGCACTGCTTTTCAAAAAGTAGCTAAAAAGTAGTGCACTGCTTTTCAAAAAGTAGCTAAAAAGTAGGCACTATTTTTCAAAAAGTAGCTAAAAAGTAGTCACTACTTTTCAAAAAGTAGCTAAAAAGTAGACACTATTTTTCAAAAAGTAGCTAAAAAGTAGTGCACTGCTTTTCAAAAAGTAGCTAAAATGTAGTGCACTGCTTTTCAAAAAGTAGCTAAAAAGTAGTGCACTACTTTTCAAAAAGTAGCTAAAAAGTAGTGGACTGCTTTTCAAAAAGTAGCTAAAAAGTAGTGCACTACTTTTCAAAAAGTAGCTAAAAAGTAGTGCACTGCTTTTCAAAAAGTAGCTAAAAAGTAGGCACTACTTTTCAAAAAGTAGCTAAAAAGTAGTGCAATATTTTTCAAAAAGTAGCTAAAAAGTAGTGCAGTACTTTTTAAAAAGTAGCTAAAAAGTAGTGCACTGCTTTTTAAAAAGTAGCTAAAAAGTAGTGCACTACTTTTCAAAAAGTAGCTAAGAAGAAGTGCACTACTTTTCAAAAAGTAGCTAAAAAGTAGTGCACTACTTTTCAAAAAGTAGCTAAAAAGTAGGCACTACTTTTCAAAAAGTAGCTAAACAGTAGTGCACTACTTTTCAAAAAGTAGCTAAAACATAGTGCACTACGTTTCAAAAACTAGCTAAAAAGTAGCCGCTACTTTTCAAAAAGTAGCTAAAAAGTAGCTAAAAAGTAGTGCACTGCTTTTCAAAAACTAGCTAAAAAGTAGGCACTACTTTTCAAAAAGGTAGCTAAAAAGTAGTGCACTACTTTTCAAAAAGTAGCTAAAAAGTAGGCACTACTTTCAAAAACTAGCTAAAAAGTAGTGCAATACTTTTTAAAAAGTAGCTAAAAAAGTAGTGCACTACTTTTTAAAAAGTAGCTAAAAAGTAGTGCACTACTTTTGAAAAAGTAGCTAAAAAGTAGTGCACTGCTTTTCAAAAAGTAGCTAAAAAGTAGTGCACTACTTTTTAAAAAGTAGCTAAAAAGTAGTGCACTGCTTTTTAAAAAGAAGCTAAAAAGTAGTGCACTACTTTTCAAAAAGTAGCTAAAAAGTAGTGCACTACTTTTTAAAAAGTAGCTAAAAAGTAGTGCACTGCTTTTTAAAAAGTAGCTAAAAAGTAGTGCACTACTTTTCAAAAAGTAGCTAAAAAGTAGTGCACTGCTTTTCAAAAAGTAGCTAAACAGTAGTGCACTACTTTTCAAAAAGTAGCTAAACAGTAGTGCACTACTTTTTAAAAACTAGCTAAAAAGTAGCCGCTACTTTTCAAAAAGTAGCTAAAAAGTAGTGCACAACTTTTCAAAAAGTAGCTAAAAAGTAGTGCACTGCTTTTCAAAAAGTAGCTAAAAAGTAGGCACTACTTTTCAAAAAGTAGCTAAAAAGTAGTGCACAACTTTTCAAAAAGTAGCTAAAAAGTAGTGCACTACTTTTCAAAAACTAGCTAAAAAGTAGGCACTACTTTTCAAAAAGGTAGCTAAAAAGTAGTGCACTACTTTTCAAAAAGTAGCTAAAAAGTAGGCACTACTTTCAAAAACTAGCTAAAAAGTAGTGCAATACTTTTTAAAAAGTAGCTAAAAAAGTAGTGCACTACTTTTTAAAAAGTAGCTAAAAAGTAGTGCACTACTTTTGAAAAAGTAGCTAAAAAGTAGTGCACTGCTTTTCAAAAAGTAGCTAAAAAGTAGTGCACTACTTTTTAAAAAGTAGCTAAAAAGTAGTGCACTGCTTTTTAAAAAGTAGCTAAAAAGTAGTGCACTACTTTTTAAAAAGTAGCTAAAAAGTAGTGCACTGCTTTTTAAAAAGTAGCTAAAAAGTAGGCACTACTTTTCAAAAAGTAGCTAAACAGTAGTGCACTACTTTTCAAAAAGTAGCTAAACAGTAGTGCACTACTTTTTAAAAAACTAGCTAAAAGTAGCCGCTACTTTTCAAAAAGTAGCTAAAAAGTAGTGCACTACTTTTCAAAAAGTAGCTAAAAAGTAGTGCACTGCTTTTCAAAAAGTAGCTAAAAAGTAGTGCACTACTTTTCAAAAAGTAGCTAAAACGTAGTGCACTACTTTTCAAAAAGTACCTAAAAAGTAGTGCACTGCTTTTCAAAAAGTAGCTAAAAAGTAATGCACTACTTTTTAAAAAGTAGCTAAAAAGTAGACACTACTTTTTAAAAAGTAGCTAAAAAGTAGACACTACTTTTCAAAAAGTAGCTAAAAAGTAGTCCACTACTTTTCAAAAAGTAGCTAAAAAGTAGTCCACTACTTTTTAAAAAGTAGCTAAAAAATAGCCACTACTTTTCAAAAAGTAGCTAAAAAATAGTCCACTACTTTTTAAAAAGTAGCTAAAAAATAGCCACTACTTTTTAAAAAGTAGCTAAAAAATAGTGCACTACTTATCAAAAAGTAGCTAAAAAATAGCCACTACTTTTCGAAAAGTAGCTAAAAAGTAGCCACAATTTTTCTGGAAAAGTTCCAGAAAAGGATTTGGAACAGAACTGTAGCTGCTACAAATTTTGGGAAAGTAACTACTAAGTAGCTAATTACTAATTTTTCAGTAGCTATATCAACACTGATAAAGAGCCTGAACAATTCCCCCTTAGTCATGTGAACTTCCTACCTGTGCCATTCCCCCACATTCTCTCAGGAAAGGGCAGGTATAGTAATGTCAGAGTTTATTTTTATTTATTTATTTATTTATTTATTTATGTATGTATGTATGTATGTATGTGTATGTATGTATGTATGTATGTGTATGTATGTATGTATGTATGTAACTCTGTCCTGTGAGTTAAAGCTCCAAAGTGCTTTCGGTCTCTTCTTATTTATTTTCTGTTGTCTTTTCTTGATCAGTTTTCTGCTCAGGCCCATCCTGCCACAGCAGTTTCTACCCAGAAACAAATGATCCTGTACTGCACGGAGGAGAAGGAAGTAGGGGAGGGGTTGCTTGCTGTCTTCCTGGATCGCCCATATTTGTAGCTTTAACTAACAAAAGCAGACCTTTCCTCAACTAAACGTCCTCCAAAGTGATTTCCACCGAACTAAATGAGAAAAGACGATGACGGGGGCGGCGGCGACACTCTGTGTCGTCTTGCTGCTGGTATTACTTGATTTGACTCTCGGGGGTGAGTGCTTTCCTTTCCTTCAGTTCTCTATAAGTTCCATGACTGGAAAATGGTTCTATCACAGTTCTAACTATGGAGATGCGCGAGTCCACAATGCTCCCACCATTTACGGTGGAACAGGAAAATTCAAACAAGAAGCTGGTGAACTGAAATCCAACTTCAGCCTCGTCCTCTTGTGAACCTAAATACAAAAAACCTATATGTTTTGGTGTTCACTACTAGTAGTAGTAGGGAGTAATAGACTTAACATCTTACATTTAGGAGATATACATTATTTAACAAATGCATGTTTCACAGTGAAATATTGGTGTGTCTGCCAAAGCGCTCATAGTACTTCTTGCTAAACTAAGCTCCTCAAAGTCGTCCATCTTTGTTTCATGGCACGCCTCTTTTTTTGCTGACCAATCACAGGCTTTGTTGCGTAGCGTGTCTTTGTTTTCTCCACAATGATGTCATATTGTTGGCTGAATCGAGGTGAACGTCGTCTCCGCAAGAAATATGCTGAAGCCTTAACCCTGCGTTCACACCGGCATCGACGTGACAATGTATATTCAGTGAGCTGGTGATTTCCAGCGACAGGAGGCGGCATGAACGTTGGCAACGCTAAGTGGGTGAAGTGGTACGTGCTTTTTTTCTACCACTGTGAAACAGTGCTCTCCTTTTTTGGTTCCTAGATAATTTTTCCTACTATAGATGGCAGCGGTGTGTTAGCTGCTAGTAGACAGTAGTCGCAAAGACCAAATACTGTTTTCCTCACATAATGACTGCACAGACACAGGGATTAAATAAAAATAAGCACACAAGTGATTTCTCACCAGGATTTTAAATTTTTAGCCGGAACGCGTCTTTGTGTTTGCCGTCAGTGAAATCATGGCAACCAACAGTCCACTCGAGTTCGCCACGACACACGACAAGGCAGCGGGGGTCTTTAATTTTCAATGAGATTTATTTACTCGCCCCTCTGGTTTAATAATTTTCAGTGCACCGACAGATAAATGCAGATAAATTACCATTGCTTCCTTTATGCACGAAGCTGAAGGCTTCCTGTTTGCCATTTTCTTGTTTAAGTTTTCCCGTTCCACCTTAAATGCAGTAACCCAAATGCCTCAGGTGCCACAATGTAACTGCTGCACTATTTAAGGTGGAAAATTCAAACAAGGAGCTGGTGAATGAAGCACTTCAGCTTCGTCGTTGAGGCAGGATAGTTTAACTGCTCATTAATGTTGTTTTCCATAAACACAGCGTCAGCTAGCTTTGTGGCTAACCTAATTTAGCAGTGAACAGCGTTATAAGCTGCTGAAAGCGATTTTGCCAGAGAATTTGAATAAGTGATGAGCTACAGAGAAAAGATAGGATGTTGTTTGTTTACTCACTAGAATTGCCTCTGTTTCATAAATAAACCTACAATCGAAGTTTATCAACAGCTTAGCTTACATCACTCAACTACCATAACGTTAAACGTAGGATAACTGTGATGTTTGTCTGACAGTAACGTTACCGGCTTTCACGTTTCTGCAGCAAGAGCAGGCATAGCTGACATGAGTGTTGCCAGTCTTATTTAAGCTAAGAGGAGGAGTGATGGGGATATTTATTGTGATTTAAGTATGTATTTCACATGACACTTATCAACTTACCCTGAACACTGATAACCTCTTTTGTGGGGTAGTTACTCCGCTGGACACGGCTTGGCTTGGCTTAGCTGATTGTGATTTTTGGCATTCCAAACACATTTGGGTTGCCAACAGGAAAGTTGAAGAGCGCCCTCTGATGGGCGAGTACGCAATGACCACTGGTTGAAGGATCTGTTTTCTGCCTCTTTTTATTATAAACGCTGATACCAATTTATCTGCAGCTACCTCATATCGGCCGATAATATCGGCACGCTGATTTATAAGTCAGACTCTATCCAAAACCACAAGTGAACCTACACTTATCTTCTGAGTGTTTATATGGAAACTTTATGATGGTGAAAAAGTAATAAAACTAAAAAAATACTATTTTGCCTCACAACAACCTGCATGCTTTAAAAAGCTTCTAAAAACTACCATAAAACAGTGTCTCAGTCATCAGGCAGTGAATTCATAACCATTTCATGTAGTAACTTTCTGTGAGGGAGCTTTTAGAGGTGGACGTCTGGTTCCTATCACCACCACTGTGAACAGTTCTGACTCGGTAAGTTTATCTAGAACAGAGCGTTTCACACCAAACCACTCTGTTTATGTCTTAACCATTTAATTATGCAGGAGCTTAGAAGTATCTGTGGAATTCCTCTTTAAGACCTTATTGTGTACCTTAAATGAGTTTTACACTACATTCACCTTCCCCACATATAATTTTATCATTTTTATTATTTATCTGTTTTAGAATAGAATAATAAAATCAAAGCCAGCAGTCAGGACAGGATGTGTGGAGTTCAACTAAAATTACATAATTCCAATATATATTACTAAAGGGTATATAAATGTACTGGAGTGACAGCTTGTACTGTTTTGTTCTGAGAGGGATAGTGACGGTGGTGCACGACATGGGTGCCCCATCAGCAAGCAGAAAGCTATGATGCATCTTGTCTGACAAAATAGTCTTCATCCTTGATTAAGATTAGCTTATCATTATATTATTAGGCGATTCATGTTAGAAAGGGAGCTATAAACCTTTAAAATGTTTATTCTGCAAACACCTCCAAAGTAAAACACAGAGAAAACATTTGTTAATTTGTGTTCACACATACACGCTGATGTATCAATGTCAATGAGAAAGCTATGATTTGGGAGCTTAGAAGTCAGGAGTAGTCACTCTTAATTGAAAAAGCAGTTGATCAGATCAACTGTCTATAAAAGCACTTGCAGTGTACACACATTAGTATTTAGTAATGCATTATCAGTAAAACACAATCTTTTCACCCTCAAGCTTGCTGTATTCCCTCCCTCTCACACTGTAGTAGGATGTCAGCATTACAGCTCAGACTGTACTGAGCCCCCTTTGACATCTGAACATTCTGGTGAGGGTGTGGCTAAAACTCAAAACTTAAATGGATGGAATAGATGTGAGTCCCTAACAATAGGAGTAAGTATTTTAAACTGTATTGTGTCAGCATTGGCAACAATTTTGTCTTTTATTATCAAATACAGTTAATCTAACATAATCTAACCTAACCTAAAGGGTACATTGAAAAATAAAACGGCTACGGTGCAGACAGATATCAGCTTAACTCATTGCGCCCTTGCAAAAAATGTTAGCAGCCATAGAGTACGTTTTAAATGTAAGCAGGTTTGCGAGCTAAATTTAAAATCTATCAAAGCATTTGATGACACCCCTAGGCGGTCATCACGGCACCCACTTTGGGAAAGCCTGCCCTAGAGGGCACATAGGGCACTGCGTCTCATTTTCTTCACTGGAATTGTTATCGTTCCACTGCAAGGGCACTTCATCATGTTTTCTCACTTGGAAGTGTGTCTTAGAGCTATTCATTCGTTTTTTTCAATAAGAAAGGCACATAAAAGGAATGTCAAATGTACAAATGCATCCCAATGTGAGGAGACCTATATGGCACCTCACTGTATTTAGATGTGGTGCTTGTGTGCTGTGTAGTTTCTCAATCAGTGCTGTCTTTATTTACTATAATCAAATCATTGTTTAATATTCATTGGTTGATTGGTTGAGAGTCGTTCTAACTGTGCTGTTATTTCACCATAACATCACAGGTTTTTTCACAAACACTGCATCACTCCGCTGAGACGCCATTGCTAAGCAACGACTTTGGCAGCTGTAGGAGACGCTCAAGACATTTGAACGTTTTTACTTCTTACTTTGCCACAAACAGAAAATGGACACTTTTAAGATCACATTTGACCGACAGCCGATTTGGTCAGACTCTGAAGATGAGACGACACTAAATTCCCAAACTGTCATCACCACTGAGCAGCTTTTCAGTCGGCAGCTGTGACAGAACAACAGCTAAACAACCTGGAATCAGCCAGAAATGAACCCAACACCATTCGCCAAACTAAACGGGCTGTAAGATGCTTTACAGACTGGCTGGAACAAAACAAGGAGCTGGAGAACGAACTGCTGACTCGCCCTCGTGCCTGTGACCAAATCACAGCTGTGATGTTATTTTGCGATATCACACTCCCTCTCGTGTTCTACTGCTAAAATCATTAATTTCTCTGTTTCTCCACAGATGAACACTCTCTGTGTTACCTCTACACTGTCCAGTCTAAAAGCTCTTCAGACAGAGTCTCTGAGTTCGTTGCAGTGACTCTGCTGGATGACAGACAGATTGACTCCTACAGCAGTACAGACGGGGTCAGGACTCCTAAACAGGACTGGATGAAGGAGATGAAGGAGAGTGAGTGGACAGCAGGCGCTGATAAACTGAAGCACGATGGACAACAGTTAAACAAGATCCTCGACATGAAGGCCTTCAGACACAATGAGTCAGGTGAGAACTTTCTTTTTATTTTTAATTTCATGATCTTCATGCAGAAGATTCAGTTCAATGACAGAATTTCTGAACAGAAATGTTCAGAATTCACGGAAAAGCTGCAAACTGTTCCAGGCTAATATAGTTCTAGATATGTTCTATCTGAAAGAGTGAAGGGATATTCTGTTAACCATGAAGAAGGAAAAATTAAAAAACCTAAAAACTAAAACTATGGACTTGAAATTAAAACGGGGCTATTTTTGTAGGTGATAACATGATAAAAAATTCCAAATATTTAGGAGCATACAGAAGAAACATGTTTTATTATTCAAAAATAAGGGACATTGAGAGACATCAGAATGTTTCTGTGTTGGTTGAGTAACTTATGCTGCCTCTTCAGATGAGCTAAGGCTAACAATACAGCTAACTACTGCAACACTGGATGTTGATGGAGACTTGTCCTCTTCTCCCTGCATGCACCATGTTAGTCTGTGAGAAATATATTTTCCCTGTTTCTGGAAGGAGCTAACATCAGATAGAGTAGTTAGCCTAGTTAGTGATAAAGCTGTGATAGAGCCGGCCGCACTCACAAAGTGTGATATAATATACCTTACAAATATGAACAAAACAGTCACATTCTGTTAAAACATGAAATGTTAGAGTGTCTGATCATTTATATTGGTCTCTGTTCTTCATTTACGTTTCAGATGGTCACACTCTGCAGTGGAGAGTCGGCTGTGAGGTTGAAAAGCACTCTGGTGGTTCGCTGTCAGTGTTAAACTGCACTAATAAATACGGCTACGATGGACAGAACTTAATCTCTTATAACTGGACCTCGAGGAGATGGTCAGCCTCAGTCAGTCAGGCTAAAGTGTTGGAGGAGGAGTGGAACGCTGGGCGTGTTGATCAGAGATGTGAGGAGTGTGTGCACTGGATGAAGAAGTATTTAAAGTACAGCACTACTGAAATCAAACAGAGCGAGTATTTGAATAACTGCCATAATTATGATTGTCATCATTTTCATACTCATTATTTGCAAACTTTGTTGAGGTGACTGGAGTGAGAGTTTCAGGTGATTGACAAATACATCAATTTTATGCAAAGACTCCAGATAGATATCAGCGTCTGGGCCAAATCCTGACTGATGGCAACCCATTTTTGCCTAATCAGTGTTTGAAGTTTATCACAATTTCTGTGTTTTTGTTTGTCCACCCGCTTTCTGTGATTAAGTTCATTTTCATGGCAGGGAATGACTTTGCAATTAATTAAAGTTCATCTGATCGCTCTTCATAACAATCCAGAGTTAATGCAAATTGCCAACGTAAAAACTGAAGGAACAAACTTTGTAAAAACCAAATTTTGTGTCAGTCTCAAAAGTTTTGGCCATGACTGTACATATTACATACATATTTGCATAGATTCATTTAGGGCTCTTAAACACCTAGGCTGTTTGGTGCGGACCAATCATACGTTTTCTTTATTGCAGTTTGTTTTGGCAGCTCCACCTGTACTGGGGTCTGCACCAAACAGCTGAACGGTGGTCTGCCAATAATCGCATGTTCACTTCCAGGTCCACTTCCACTTTTATGATGGTCTGCACCAAACAAGAGAATCCAACACCCATTTTACTGAAACAAGGTCATGACAAGATTTTTCACAAATTTGTATTACAGAAGTAAACTGTGTCCAAATTTAGGAATTATATCTGTTCTTACAGGGGCTAGACTACAAAAATGTCTTTGAATCTCTGTTTGGTCACCATGACAACTTCACTTAGGACAATAACTTTTACAGTTCAAAACTTCATAATCTTATCCTCAGATAAGAAAACAGTATTACACAAACAGCCTAACTAGACAATGTTTCCTAAATATTGTCGTAACTTTAGGATAGCTGCAACACATTTCTCTGTTATTTTGATTATTTGTTTTATTTCAGCTGTGCACGGTCAGTTGCTTGGTAATAGACATAACAATTGATTATCCACTTCCACTGAGTGGATTAGAATTTCTGACAAAGATGAAATAAGATATAACATCAGTTCTTTTATTAAGATTTGCTTATGAATTTGTAACTAACTTTATCTTGACCTTGTCAAATCCTCATTTTGGTCTAAGAACTGGAAGTTTCTGTTATACAGCCTCAGCACCTTATATCAAGGAAATCCTAATCCACTCGGTCGATAATTGATTATGTCTGTTACTAAGCAACTGATGATGTGCACAGCTGAAAGGTAAACAGGTAGTCAAAATAGCATTAAAAATGTAGTTTATTTAGCTGGACAACTACCAGTGTAAATATGTTAAAACTAAAGTGAAATGAACTACAAGTTAAAGTTAAAACCCAGAACAGTTCTTTTTTAACATCTATCAAAAATAAACATTTTCTGTGAAAAATTACGTTTTTCTGTTACTTTTCCTGAAAGTGGCCTTAAAATGTGACCCCAACGTATTACATATTCATTCAGCATAAAAAAAAAACAGCTAATTCAGTGTATTAGGATTGTTTGTTGGACAATAAAACGTGTCTCTGTGCAGAGGAAAAATACTCAATCAAACGTCTGAAAAGTCCAGGATCACCAAGTAAAGTATTATACAACTGAAAATTCAAAGAGCACAGAACGTCCACCTGATGCTTTTTATCGTAAATGGGAATCGACCTTGCTAAAGCTCTCCTGTGATCATCATCAGTTTTGCTAGGGATCGATACGTTTTTCAGGGCTGATACCGATTATTAGTAATCAGGGACACCGATAACTGATATTTGAGACTGATACTCATTTACTATAAATTTGATGTTTGTAGTGTGGAAATTTACAAGAATGTGACTCAACTTACATCAAATCATTATTAGAGTATTATGAGAAATAAAGTGCTCTCAGCTTTAAACACTTCAGTTTGCCAAAATAGTAACTTAATCAACTTGTCTTTAAACGGCTCTCAGTGATGTTTAATAGTCGATGGCGTTTGTAAAAAAGAGACTTAAAAAATTTAAATGAAATAAAATATACAAATATATTTATACGTTTTGTATATAAAACAGATACGTACTATGAGTCACTAACATCTGACAGGGCACACATCAGGAGCAGAGCTTGCCTTTTCAGTATATGGGTGCAGGCGAGAAAACCTGGATGCAGACTAAAACCTGTATAAAGCCTGAACTAACCAAATACAAAGAACTGTAAGTGTAATATTACAGTATGATATCATAGTCAGCATCTGAGTAATCATCAGTCCAAAAGGTCGCTACTTTGTAAAAACAACAGTGAAGGAATATGAATGTGTTTAATTTCATTGTTCAACCAAAATGTATTTTATGCAGTAACAAGCAATAGTTGAATGTATCTGATGTGTTCTGATTGGCTGCGTGATTCTGTAGAAACGGCCCGTTTAACCTAAGCAGTGCCGTGGAATCTTTTGAAGTACCTCACTGCAACTGTCTGTACTTTTAAAGAGTAAAATAGAAATGAAATTGACCAGAAATTGTGTAGAACTTGTTTATTAAATGTAAAACAATAAATTTATGATTTTACAAATAATTTACTGCTTTCTGGAGGCTTGTCTGTGTGATCATCCACCCACTGAAGCTCTTCAGTGGATGCACACACATTCAGAACGTGTTCAAACTGCTATAGCAGCACTGTGGGTCCACACAGCGTCTCTGCTCCACACTCAGAAACCTCACTCTCACCAAACTAATGTGATGTTTCGGGCAGGGCTTGAGCTGCACACACGAGTCTCGTTTGTCTGGCTAGAGTGGATGAAATTATATGACCATGTGCATTAAGCTTTTTACCAGCTGCGTTGTTCAACCTCGACAAGTATAGACTTCTCTTCTCCCTGTAGAAGTGAAGGCAGACACTGCTTTCCTCCTGAGTCAGTCACAAACCCCCGAAATGCCCGTCTGATTGGTCCACATTTCTACTAATCCAGTAGCGCTGCAGGTGGACATAGACAGACTACAAAAGTGCTGGTTGGTTGTACTTGGATGCTTCATCTGCATTTCAAGCAAGTAACGCTGTGGGCAGCACATTAGGTCAGACTACAGAAGTGTGGAGTTGGATTGTGGTTGCATCAGATATGTGGATACTAGGGGTTGTACAGACTAGTCTACTAATTAACTTGTCGACTTTACTGCTTGGTGATGATGCTTTAGCTTGATGTTGAGTAGTCGCTGATCACGTGACTATGACACTAACAACAAGGTGAGCAGCCTCGTGATTTTGGGATCCATATCTCCAGTTTCCTGAAGACTAGCAATGTGATCCAGTGCTCAATGGATAGGGCACATCACGCTCTAGTGACCTGTGGAGTTTGGCTTCACAGATTTCTCTTGTGATTTTATTCATGACATCATCAGCGATTAGTCGTGGTCGACTCAACATTCATCACATAACTATCGACTTTAAAAAAATCTGAAGTCGTGCAAACCCTGCAGTGTCCAGGTGAACGAAGTTGACCGATACCAATGATAGTATGTTTGAAACATCTTTAAAAAATGAAAACAATGTGTATGTGCATTTCATTTCCTTTTCAGCTCCACCAGACGTTCATGTGTTTGCAAAGAAATCTACAACTAACTCAGGAATGCTGACCCTGACCTGCCTGGCCACGGGCTTCTACCCCAAAGACGTGAAGCTGGATGTAAGGAAGTTCCGCACTTCACTTCCTGAACATCTACTAAGATCCTCAGGAGTCAGACCCAATGAAGATGGAACCTACCAGCTGAGGAAGAGTGTGGAGATCCAGGGGGACGAAACAGCAGAATATGACTGTTATGTGAATCACATCACCCTCGAAGAACCGATAATTAAACAATGGGGTAATTATATCTGTGTACCTAATGTATTTCTGGCCTTTTATAGTTTAGAATTAGTTTCTCAATGTAAATCTAAACCCAGTTTAACAGAATGGCAGATGTGCAGAGACTAGACCCAAAACTACATGATGAGAGGGCAGATTTAAAGTATTTCCCCACTTCAATCAATATTAATATTGCTGTAAATGTTTTTCTGTCCCAAATAGAGCCAGGAGAGCAGGGTTTGCAGGAACGATGTCTTTATTGGAGGAGCGTTCTGTTAATCTGTTAATCAAAGCTCAGCTTTGCTCTAACAGTTCGCTCTAGGTTAAGCTCACGTCTTACTCTCTCAGCCCTCAGCGCTAGACTGTTTCAGTACTTACTAATCTACATAGACCACAGCCAGTGGGCTAGCTCCGCCTTCAAAATAAGAGTTCTCATAGAAAAACCCAGCAAATAAATGCTGCAGAACAATTACCCCAAAAGCACCATGAACACATTCTTGAACAAACTGCTACATATTGCTGGTGTTGGAACAAAACCTTGTTTCTCCATTTTTGTCGTTGTTTTTTGAGTTTTTGATATAATTTGAAAAAGGCTGTTTCCGTTTACATTTTATGTAAATTTAACGATGAATTCACCAAAAGAAATGGCCCAAAATGACTCAGGAAAAAAGTCTAGTAACATTGACTCATAGTAAAAGTACAGTAGGTTTTTTCCTTCTTCTGTAAAGTTACTATTTTGGAGATAAAATTGTTGTCAAGAAATCAACATTTTGCCGGCAGAAGTCAAGGTTTTGTTCCGACAGCAGTTAAAAACACGTACGTATGAATGTGTTGATATTTTTTAGAAGTAGCTGCTACTTGCAGTTGTAGTCATTATTTTCAGTAATTTCAGTTCAGCCACATCTACAAAAACAGATTCGCTTAAAGGGAATTTCAGGGATTTTCACACTTTCTGCATAATTCTGTGTGTGAAATGTAAACAGAGTGATGCAGGGTGGTTTGGTGTGAAATGGTCATATATCTTTACAGTGGTGGTGATAGGAACCAGGGGTCGCCATGACTACAACACAAATATAGACATTTTATTTACTATCCAGTGAACCTACACGAGTCTTCTGAGTTTATATGGAATGATGATGGTGGAAAATCTGAAATAATAAGTTTTCTTTGGGGACTATTTTGCCTCACAGCACCCTGCATGTACCTCTCTGACCTTAACAGATTAAGTATGTTTTGGGCCAAAATCTTCTCTAAACAATCATAAATCAATATCTCAGTCATCAGGCAGTGTCTGGTTCCTGTCACCACCACAGTGAACAATTCTGACTAAGTAAGCTTATCTAGAACGGAGTGTTTCACACTAAACCACTCTGAATGAACCTGTTTACACCTGAAACAATTTCGATAGGAATTTTGAAAAATCTCTGGAATCTACCTTTAAGCTTATTGTTATTCTTATTATTTTTATTATTATTCAAGTGTCCAAAATGGTTTTATTGGGGAAAAAATACACATAAATACATGATACGATATGTGATGCATACAAAAACCATCAGAAATCTTAATGATACTGTGATATTTTTTCACGTTGTTCCATATTTTTTCTTTTTTCCTGTAGTTTTAGCTGTTGTCTGTCTATTCTAGTTACTTTCCCCTCACGTTAAGTTGTAGAGTGCACAATAAAAGGCAAGCACAAATAGCCACTTGTATACCAAACAACAGAATGTATATGTTGTCCTGACATAATCTTTTACAGATGAACCAATAGATACAGGGCAAATACTCAGTGTAAAGTCCTGCTTGGGAAATTGTTGGTCAGACTGGGTTATGAGCAGCAGGCTCTTCAAAAAAATCATCATTCCTGTAAACACTGGTCTCCTGAACTCTCACATATGTCACAGATAAAGATTTACCACATCCTGATAACCACAGGGAAAAAAACACTTCTGCTGTCAGTCTTTGTCTTCTCAAGTCATGAGCTGCCTGCTAGCCACCTATCTTTGAACTCTGACCTGCCCCCTTGTGGATATAGCTTCATTTTCTAGAGAAAAGGTGCTGCTCACAGAGCTGCTGTGTGTGCATCTGCAGGAGCCACCAAAGCTGAGCACTTTTCATACAGGTACAGAGCTGGGTTCTGTCACTGGGACCTGATGGAGGGCTGAAACTGAAGGGGTCATCTGTTAAATCTCATACAGGCTCCTGAGTTCTGATGTTGCGTAAGCAGTTCAGTACTGATGCAGAAGACAACCTGCAGTAGTACACTAGACTGGGATTGGCTGTGACTAACATTTGTATTGTGAGCAAAATCTGTCACCCCTGCAGATGAACGATAGAAGATTTACAGCATTTTTTCACTGTCATGTTAGTACCAAGTTCAGGTTCAGGAATGGTTGGAGCAGTGATTGGCGGAGTGGTGGTGCTTCTGCTGATTCTCGGTGGGATCATCTTCGCCCTTATAAAGAAGGGGATAATTGGTGAGTATAGACTATCTTAGTACAGGTTCTGTTCAAAGAATGAAGTCTATTTATTGAAAATGTACTACCAAAAGGAAAAAAAGCCTCCTCAGGCTTCCACCTCAGCACCTTCAACCTTAAAATGAGATGCACAATGACAGGAAGAAGCTCATCACCAGGGAGATGTGTGATTAGGATCTTGTCATCATAAAACCAACAGTTCAGAAAAGTTCTTAACTAATGTTCAGAACACAGTGGTGAATTTACTTAAATACTTCTTGGTCAGTGTGAAATGAGCTAATGGTCCCTCCTTTTTAGCTGAAGTTAGTATTAAATGTTAAGGTCTGAAATGGCCTTGTTTATTTGATGGTTTTTTGTAGTGAGGTCAGTCTTTTTCCAAGTTTATCATAGCTTAGCATCAAATATTGTTTTTCCATTATTTTGACTAACCAAAAATATAAACAATAATAAAAATGCAATTCTGAAAACCAAACAGCAGTTTACGTTTATTTTACATGTACATAATATTTTTTATTTACCAGTCATTCCAGGTGCTGTAAATGCTGCGCCTGCCCTGCAAGCCCCGCCAAATGGTCAGTGTCATTGTGATTGTGTTGCGCTGTAAAGATCACAGTCAGTCATTTTCATTTTCATTATATTGAGAAACATGTTTGATAAAACCACAAAGAAAACTTGACAATTTTGGACACGTAACTTCTTCTTCTTCAGGTGTGATTGTTCCTGAAGAACCCTTGACAGCTGGTAAGTTCCATTTGAGTTTCATTCTTACTCAGCAAACTCTACAGTAGAATCACTCTACTAGTACAGCACTGCTGTGACAGCAGCTACGGCTTTACTGTTATATAAGACTGTAATGTAGCCTGTTTTAAAGCTCTTTTTTCTGTATTATTTTCTTGATTTAACTATGTTTCAATAAATTGAGACATTAATAGCTTCTCAAAGGCAAAGCAATGATAGATACATTGCTGGGTTTAAGACATACTAATCACACAATGTAGCTCTTTTTACCTATTTTCATTCATATTTTACTGAACTCTCCTCCAGACCGTAAAGCTGGTGGTTCTGACTCCGGTTCAGACTCCGGTAACGATGTTCCACTTTAAAAACATTTGAGAAAAGCAATATTTGGAAATAAATTTCTCCACTGTAACTCAGTTGTGATGTGGCCTTATTGTTTCTTTCTCAGGACAGGGAACTGGCTCAACCAATAGCAGCAATGAAAACATTGTGGATGGATTATCTGATTCTGGTAATTTTTCTCCTCATAAATGTCTAAAAACTCAAGACATGCTTTTCTCATTATGGGCAGGTACAAAGAAATAACCATGTACAGTCTAAAAGGCTTTTCAGTGTATAGGGAGTTTTTAGTGTATGTATGTACAGTACTTGTATGTCCTGCAAGTACTGACTGAGAGAGAGACCAGTCCAGCTCTACAGACTGAGCAGCTGAGCAGAGTGACAGCCTGCTGTGTTCAGTGTGAGAGCAGCTTCGGTTTTCATAGCCCTTTTCTCCAGTAACCAGTTCCAGTAGGGCAGATAATGCAGAAACACCAAAGAGAAGCCTGCAGCATGTTTTCCCATGTTGGTCAGTCACAAGGAAATCTAGTCTAATTTCAGGTTTCATGTTCAGGTTTTTATTGTATAGGAAAATTTCTGTGAATATTGACTGAAAGAGAGACCAGCCAACTCTACAGACTGAGCAGCTGATGCCACGTTTATCTTGAAAGCTGCTTTGGTTTTCGTTTTTCTCCAGTAACCAGTTTTAGTATGGGACATAATGCAGTAGCAGCTCAGAGAGGCTTAAACCAGAGAAAATAAACACGCTAGTGCTTCCGATCAGAAATTCAGCAGTTGCTTCTTGTCTTGCTTCTTCTGTGGAGCTGAGCGTCTCGACAGCAGGGTATTCTGAGAATTTGACAACGACCCCATAAACTCATTTAAATCTGCTGCCAGAGGAGTTCGACTGCATAATCGCCCACACTGGCCAGAGAGAAATGAATCAGCCTCTGAACTGTGTTTTGTGTATATTTCCCCCAGTCAGAGTCCAGTTCAGAAATAGCCATGATTTGTGGGCTAAAATAAAAATGGCTAAAGCTTACTATGTTATGATGACCTGCAGACCACAGTTACTATTCACCAACCGTTCTTAAGCATAAGTGTCTTCCTAAAACCAACTTAAGTAGTTTTCATGGAGATTCTGACATTCACCAGTGTTTTCTTAGGTAAGAACAGAATCTACACTCACTCTAGAGCACAAAGCTGTGAACAGTTCTGCGCTTTAAGAACACGTCATGAATCTGACGCAGACTTTTTCCTAGAACCTTTCTCAAGAACACTTTCAGGAAGATGTTGGTAAATGAGGCCCATTGTTATCAGGCTGTTAGTCTGGGTTATATTAAAGTGTTCTTTATTGATGCAAAGTGCTTCATAGCCATGGCTTGACCTCACAGTTTACAAGGCTGAAGATTAAGAGCTCTTGGTGCTTCATAAGAGTGGTGCTTCACATAAATGACACTGTGTTTTACAATTCTGACATAACCACATCATAATCGCTTAAGCCCCATTAATGTGTGGACGGCTCCAGCTTCATCTCTTTAGAAAGCTCTCCCACAATAACAAAGTGCTGTTCTTCACTACTATAGAGTGTTTCAGAGAACAGACGACATATTAGGACAGATATATACAGGAAAATGCAGATTATAAGACTAAACTGGTTTATTTTTGTGCTGTTGAAAGAATCAGACAGCAGTTTTGCTGACATTTAAATTGTCCAACTGAAAAGCGGTCATCCATCCCGCACACCGAGAACATACCAGTGACGTCTGGTGCTGCTGACAGTCGGCTCAAGACTGTTGTTTATCACTGGAAACTGTAGTGGCTTTTGAAAAACTCTGGAAAATCAGAGGGAGTGAACTGCTCCCTTGTTTTGTTTTCCTTTTAACAAGTCTGACAGTAACCTCGTTGCTTTTCAGGTGGGGCCAGCAATGGTGGGTCAGGAATACCCAATGGTCACTCTGATCAAACAGAGGAGCAGACACTGCTGACTGCTTCACCTTAAACTCAGCAGGACAAATTATCGTAAGTAGTTCATACGTTACAATGCGTGCATTACAAATACAGATATACAGTGGAAAAACAAAACCATAAAAGACTTTCTGAAAGGGACGAGGAGGATTAGACAGAAATGTCCACAGTTAGTACTTACTGGAACAAATAGCCTTTTTATAACTGACACAAACTGAAACATTTTCTCTGAAATAAATAAAAATATAGTCTTGAATTCCTCAAAATCACCACACTGTGTCTTAATAACGGCTTCAACTCACCTGATAAATATCTTCAGATGTTTAACTGACCTGCTCTTCAGACTGAAATCCACATTGACTGTTAATCTATTATAGAGAAGCCTGTATAGTTAGAAGTGTCGTTTTTAGTGAAAAAATAAGCTCAAACTTTTGACTAGTCTTGTATCACGTTCTTTTTGTGATTATACATATTGGCTGAATAATTATAACATCTGGCACTGAAATAGCTTATGATTCATTGAAGAATATGGATATTTCAAAGTAATCTTCAGAGGTCTAGACCTGCTGCTCACAGTCAGGATCCTGTGGATTTACTTACAGCAGATTACAGATGGATTACAGTTACAGCTGCTTCAGATTATTTAACTGGTTACCCCCAAAAATATTATTGATTATATCTGATAACTGTGTATTTATCCTTAATGTGTCTTTCTGTAAAACACCAGTTCTGTTCTTATTAGTGGCCAGTGAGTGGAAGTACAAGGTAGGTGTTTCGAATAAAGTGGCCAGTTAGTGGAAGTACAAGGTAGGTGTTTCTAATAAAGTGGCCAGTTAACGGAAGTACAAGGTAGCTGTTTCTAATAAAGTGACTGGTGATGGTACATAACAACAGTTTAATATCTTTTTCACAGGAAACTCCAGAACAGAGGAAGTGAATTACACTGGAACTCCAGATCATTCAGGATTCCACACCAGACTTTCTTACAGCACAGACTCTTTTCCTTTCTTTTATTAAGTCAGTACTTTTACATCACTGTTACGTTAAAGCTGCACTATGTAAGATTTGGGTATTTGGAGACCTCTCTGATGGAAACGTGTAACTGCACACAACATGTAATTTTGTAACATGGGTCTGCGCGGGACTGTTTTTTCAGTTTCGCTCCCACAAGATTTCATCCTGCTCCCATAGAAAATCGTAATCGTTTGTACCGTTCAAGCCCACAACTGAAATGTGTTTTCCTGCTTCCGCCCAAACAGTTCCATCAAGGCAAAGTGACATTCAATATCTGACACAGTTTATTCAGAAATACATTCCTCTCTGGTGAAATAACACGGCAGTCATGGTCATCAGGCTCACTGTGAGTAACTTCACCAAACGCCGTTTATTCACCATTTAAACACAAAGTAGGAATTAAACCACAGAGCGGCTATTTTTGGTGTTTTGCGGGGCAGCTGTGGCCTTCGTATCATTTAGGGGTGGTTCTGCTTTATTCAGGCTGTTCATTAGTTTGTGGCGCTTCTCTTCATGCGTGCTTCATCCCGCTCCCGCCTGCAGTGGGCTGGTTTCCCTCCCGCTTCCACTCACAACACTGAACATTAAACCCAGAAGGCATTGTGGCGGGTCCAGCGGGAATCCGCAGGATTGCAGACCCCTACTTCAAACCCCTTCCCTGAGGAGATGAGTCTGATGACTGAGAGTAAGACGCGTCTTCTGAGGATGTGAATCAATAATTTACTGTTGTCATCATATCTTCATCAGTATAATGTTGATTTTGAGATCATTTGAGGCGTAAACATCGAGGCGGACCTTCTTTTTGAGTATGTGTGGCGTTAAATGAAGTTAAAATGTAAAGATGTACAATGTGGTGTGAAAAACTCTCGACAGGGCGACTCAGAGTGGCGCACACTCACTGTATTTTAGCCTAATTTTGTTCTCCTCACTCTGTAATGATACTTATTTCAGTTTCAACAAAAACAACCTACATAGTGCAGCTTTAACAGAAATCCTCCATAATAGAAACTACATTCCAGTACTCTTAATGATAAACAGCAAAAAACTAAGCAAAAACTCAACAAAGATGGAAACATTTTGATTTATGAATAGAAAAGGATTAATACATCGTTATAATGAAAGATTATTCATTTTAATAAGTTTATAATAATGCATTTATTAAGGCAGATGGTTATGTCTATTTTCTACTGCTAAGTTTTTAGCATAAGTTCACCAAGCCAAAGATTTATACACAGAACATTATTGCTTCCATTTAAGCTTTTTATGAATCCCTTATCAGCACTGTCTGAGCAAAACATGTCAATTTTAAAAGCTCATATTCATGGGCGGTTATGCAGACTTCCTTTCTGATATATTTGTGCTTTTAATTGATTTATTTAGCATCTGTTTTAATCATGAGCTGATTGTATTCAGAGTACTGCTTTAGTGTTAAACTACTTGTTATGCAATGTCACACGTGCACCAGCTTCAATTAAAAAATGCACTTAAGCATAAGACAGTTTAAACTTAAGACTGTAAAGGGCTTGTAATGTAACTGTACTCAGGAATGTTAAATGGTCTGTGTTCAGTATGGACTCTTTACAGAGACACTGTGTCTGTATAGTAACAGTCTTGTGTTTAACACCACTGTACAGTGCAGGAAGCTGTTAGCTAGAACTGTTAAATCAGCAGATTACAATGGTAAACAGTGAATACAGTCTGCAGAGGAAGACTGTCTCTATACTGAGTGAGTTTAGTATTTGAGTCTCTCTCATCTGGACCTTTTAGAGCAACAGCAGAAAAAAAAGTCTGTTAAAGATCCAAACTGAACAAAACCAGACAGAACTTACTGGGGACCTTTTATACAGTTTACTGTGTGTTTATATGGATTGTATATGTATGTATTTTTATGATTCAGGGGTCGTATTACAGAAACTTCTTAACTCTGAAATCTGATCTGTTTAGTCACCATGAAGTTTGTTCTCCAGCTCCTCACACTGAATTCCCAAACTGTCATCACCACTGAGCAACTTGTTTGGTTTTCATTGCGTCAGTTTTATGGCTCAGTCTGATTTGGTCAGACTCTGAAGATCAGACTACACGTTTGATGAATGGTGTTGGGTTCATTTCTGGCTGATTCCAGGTTGTTTAGCTGTTCTTCTGTCACAGCTGCCGACTGAAAAGCTGCTCAGTGGTGATGACAGTTTGGGAATTTAGTGTCGTCTGATCTTCGGCTGTCGGTCAAATGTGATCTTAAAAGTGTCCATTTTCTGTTTGTGGCAAAGTAAGAAGTAAAAGCGTTCAAATGTCTTGAGCGTCTCCTACAGCTGTCAAAGTCGTTGCTTAGCAACGGCGTCTCAGCGGAGTGATACAGTGTTTGTGAAAAAGCCGTGATGTTATGGTGAAATAACAGCACAGTTGGAACGCTTCTCAACCAATCAGCTCGCATGGCCGGAACTAACTGATGTATAATGTTAGATAAGATTCCTAAATTAAGATCAGATTTGCTTCTGTAATATAAGTTAGTGAAACATTTCGACCTGTCAGATCTAAACTTAAGACTAAAAGATAGGACGTTTCTGTAAAACAGACCCAGATTTTTTATTGCTTTCAAACTTTGGACGTTAGAACATTTTTCAGTCTTGGTTGGACAGTTCTGTTCTGTTTCTGTTCAATTCTATTGTTTTGTTCTGTTCTATTTTGTTCTGTTCTGTTCAATTCTATTGTTTTGTTCAGTTTCTATTTCTATTCTGTTTTGGATCATGGACGTCTTTAATACTGTCAGTTAAATTTACTATATTGCAATAAAATTGTTACACCAGTTGTTGTGAACTTTTTTTGTCATGTAGGCTCTTAAACTGCATTGCTGTCTGTGGAAGCTGCATTTTAAAGTGCACCTGCAGTTTAAACCAATTGCAGCTCTTTAAAAATCACACATCTGCCACTAGATGTCGCTGTGTCTCAGATTTAACAGAGGTTTATCTTAAGCCTGATGAACAGATGGTTTTACTGAGGTTTAGGGCATTTTCAGCTCACGTGTTTCAATATTCCAGACTTAGGCCCTCTTACCTTCCATCATAATGCTATGTGGACTTTATGGTACGTTCTAATTAAATGCTGTACTGCTTAATTAAACACTGAGGTGCTGTGCTCAACTAGAGGAGGTGTTAATGTATTACAGTCTTGATTACATTGACTGTCTTGATTAGTGTTTTGCTGTTTTAGTTTAGTCCTGAGATAAAAAGGCTGTTATTGTGTGCTGAGAGTATAAATGAACTGTTAGAAGACAGTTTTGATCTTTGTATTTAAAAGTTGATGCACAGAGAGTTGCCCCATCATTAGCTGAGCTACTGTTCAGAATTGAATGAGAATATATGGGAGTTTCCTCGCAGCAAGAGAGGCCTGGGTTCGATTCCCTGGTCAGGCTACGAGGGTCCTTTCTGTGTGGAGTCTGTATGTTCTCCCCGTACCTGTGTGGGTTTCCTCCCACAGTCCAAAGACATGCAATCAGACTAAACTTCCCCAGGTGTGTGTGTGTGTGTGTGTGCGCGTGTGTGTGTGTGTGTGTGTGTGTGTGTGTGTGAAAGTGTATGTCTGTGTGTCTGCAGAGAGAATAAGTACCACTCTGTAATGTCTTCTGGGGTTCTCAAACGCTAGAGGGCGCTCCTGAGTCCAAATAAGTGAGTTAATATGGAGCATTCGAGCAAAATCATAGTTTATAAATACTCAAACATTTTTAATGTAAAAAATTAATTCCTGAACACAGAACAGCATAAAACACTTTAACACTGCTGTTTTATTTTTAAGAGCTTTTAATCTCGAGTTATAGAAGTTTAAAATGGCGCCTCATGTACGTTCATGACGTCAGTGAGCGCAAACAGGCAATGAGCTGCTCCGCTCGCCAACCAATCAGCACTCAGGATCAGTAATGTTAGCGTCCTGCTGCTTGGATAAACTATGTTTAACAATTTTAAACAATTTAAGTATTAAAAAGTCATGTAAAATTGTAATATTTTCTAATAAAAATAATAACAATGTTTAATAATTAATTCCAAATTACAATTTTAGTGCACAGTTTCTGTTTATTTGCTGAGTTTAAGATATTGGAAAAAATGCTATATAAAATGTGCCATAACTTTTGCACAGGCCACAGTTTATGTTTTTTATTTTATCCCACTATGTTAAACTCAGATGTGTTTCACTTATTTACACTCAGAAAATCAACAACAACATGGAATTTGATTAATAAACAGACATGTTCATAAAGAGCTTTTAGATATTTAGGACTCCAGGAAGACGCAGATACAGTCAGCAGACACGGCACAGAGCAGGAATAACAGTTCCCCCTTATTCTTATTGATTAATAAATTATATTTGTCCTGCACCCATAGATAAATGTGTTTTTTCTGTCCTGTCATGTGACGCCTGAAAAATACCAATAAGCAAAAAAAACAGTATTTTCAGTAAAACTGAAGTACATAAAAGCAATGTAAACTGTTTAGCTACAAACCCAAGCAGAAAAATGTGGGACCGTAGGTAAAATGCAAATAAAAACAGAAAGCAATGATTTATTAATCTATTTTGACCTACATTTAAACAGGCAAGATAAGTAAAGCTTTACCATATCAACTTAAATATACGCTCATGCTGAGACTGATGCCTGCAACACGTTCCAAAACAGCTGAGACAGATGCAGTTCAAGATCAGGAATACTGTGAAATGTTAATTCATTCTCGGGTATAAAAAGAGCATCTAGAAAATGCCTAGTCTTTTATGAGCAGGATGGGTTGAGGCTCACCTCTTTGCCAAAATATGCATCTGCAAAAATCCAACAGATTAAAATAACCTTCCTCAATGAATGATTGCAAGGATTTTTGGTGTTTCACCCTCTACAGTGCATAATAACATCAAAAGAATCTCTGTGCATTAAGGGCAAAGCTGAAAACCACCGCTTGAATGCTTGTGACCGTCAACCCCTCAGACTGCACTGTGTGTCTGCACATGTTACAGCAGTAAACGTAAACGTGCGTCTTATTAAGCTCAACATATGACAGTAAAGGCCTGGACGGTTGCACAGCTGAAGACTTGTATAAAAGAAGAAGGGCAAAATAAATTCTGCTTTCAAAACTGGATCAGTTTGAATCTTCAGCCCCCAAATGTTTATTGTTGTTAAAGGAAAGGTGAGGTAACGCAGTGGTAAACCTGCTCCTGTCCCAACTTTGTTGGAACATGTTGAAGGCATCATATTTGGAATGAGCTTTTATTTACAAAAACAATGAGATTCATAAGATAAAATATAAAATATTGTGTTTTTCTACTGTTTTCGATTTAACACAGGTGAAACATAATTTACTCATCGTTACTTTCAGGGTTTTTTTTAGCATTTTACATTTTACTTTTTGGAATTGGGTTTATACATTAAAGTCTACTGACAGTCGGTCTGGAGTCTAATCGTACAGCCCCGTCCTGATCTTACTTCCCTTGGTTTCCAGTCACATTTTTTGCAGTGTTATTGGATGAATCATACGTATCAGAGCCGTCAATCAGCAACGCTGGGAGGAACCTTAAAAGGCTTCAGTAGATATGTGTGTGTCTGGCCTTTTTGTGAACTTAAATATATTCATGAATAAACACAACAATGCTAGCACACAACTAAGCTAAAATCAGTGACAAGTTTAGCAGTTAACTGTAATGGCTTGCTAACTCTGAGGGTGTTTGGGAAGTGAAATCAGGAGATGTGAGATTGGGCTCCACACACTGGGCTGACTGTTATCACACAGTAGGAACTGCCCTTTTGTGACAGCTGTGTCCTCTGCTGTTACTTAAGACAGATCACAAAAGAGGAGATAAGGGTCACTTTAGTGGACACAGCCTGTTTTGATAGTGTGTATTTATAGTTCTCAACATGACATTGTCTGACAGTGTTTAAAGCAAAGGGCTACTCCATGTGCCGGTTAAAATGACCAGCGAGAGCAGGTACAAAGTGGGTGGATCTAACAAATTAGCCAGGGTGCTAGATAGCTTGCTTTGATCAGACTTCTTCTCTTAAAATCAGACTAAAAAGAATCTCACATAGTACAATATTAGACAGGCAGAGTGTGCATATTCAGAAAGGAAGCATACTAGTCACTTAAAGATGCACTGTGTAAGTTTTGGGGATTTGGAGACCTCTCTGGTGGAAGAGAAATTGCAGTGTTACAGTAGCAAGATATATAACTGCACATAAAGTGACATATATTAGACATAAATAAAATAAGAGTAAAAAAAAAACAAATTAAGCAGAAATAGAAAATAGATATGAATTAGAGTAAGCTAGGAAAGATATATATTTATATATAAAAGAACATGAGTGAATGTGTAACTGAAAATACTTGATGAAAAAATGTTACAAAACTACAAAAAGTCTTGGAGAATTTCATGAAATATCTGTTCAATTCCTGTAATAATTTGCCATTGACGTTGCTGTGGGAATAAGAGAAAACAACCATAACATATTCTACTTGAACCTGTTTAACTACTTGGTTGCTTTATACTTGTTAGGTTGAGACCTGTGCTCCAATGCTTTTACAACTCCATTTCCAAAGAAGTTGGAACGCTGTGCAGAATGTAAATAAAAAATAGGATGCAATCATCTGCAAATCATGCAAACCATATTTATAAAGGAAAATACTGCAAAAAACTACATATCTAATGTTGAAATTGAGAATTTTTTTGTTTTATGAAAATGTTTTCTATTCTTGTTTGATATAGGATTTCAGCTGCTCATCAGTTCAGGTTCTCCTTTGTTGTATTTTTCATTGCATAATGCACCAGATGTTTTCAGTGGTGACAGATCTGGACTGCAGGCAGCTCAGTTTAGCCTCATTACCATCAATGCCATTGTAATACATGCAGAATGTGGTTTGACATTTGCTGAAATAATCAAGGCCTTCCCTGAAAAAAGACATCGTCTGGATGGCAGCATAAGTTGCCAAAACATAAATATATCATTCAGCACTAATGGGGTCTTCATAGATGTGCACGTCACCCATGCTATGTGCACTAATGCCCCCCTATACCATCATGAATACTGGCTTTTGAACTGCGCACTGATAACAAGCTGAGTGGTCTTTAGACTGGAGGACACAGCGTCCATGATTTCCACAAAGAATTTCAAATGTTGATTCGTCGGACCACAGGACACTTTTCCACTTCAGCTCAGTCCATTTTAAATGAGCTCAGGCCCAGAGAAGGTGGCAGTGTTTCTGGATCCTGTTTATATCTGGTTTCTTCTTTGCGTTTTAGAGTTTTAACTTGCATTTGTGGATGCAGTGATGAACTGTTTTCACAGACAGTGTTTTTCAGAGGTGTTTCTGAGCCCATGCAGTGATTTCCTCTACAGAATCATGTCTGTTTTTAATGCAGTGCTGCCTGAGGGCCCAAAGATCACGGCCAGCAAATACTGGTTTTTGGCCTCGTCCCTTACATACAGAGATTTCTCCAGATTCTCTGAATCTTTTAATGATATTACATACCGTAGATGATGAAAAGCAAAAGTTCTTTGCTATGTTATGTTGATAAATGTTATTCTTGAATTGTTGCACTATTTGATCATGCAGTCTTCCACAGAGTGGTGAACCCCTCCTCATCTCTACTTCTGGAAGACTCCGCCTCTCTGAGATGCTCTTTTTGTATACAGTCATGTTACTGACCCGTTGCCAATCAACCACCAGGTGTTTTTCAGCATTACACAACTTTACCAGCCTTTTTTTACCCCCATCCCAACTTTTTTGGAACTTGTTTTTGGCATCAATTTAATTTTTTTTCAAAAAACAATAACATTTCTCAGTTTCAACGTTTGATATGTAGTCTTTGTAGTATTTTCAATTAAAAATAGGGTTTAAATGATTTGCATCATTGCATTTTGTTTTTACTTACATTTTGCACAGCGTCCCAACTTTTTTGGAAATGAGGTTGTATTTTACAGTGTGTTTTCAAAATAAATTGATTGGAGATATTATGTTTTAGAGTAAAAACATTACCACTGGTGATGGTCACTGTTTTTCCTCCTTAGTTTTTTCCTCACTAGTGTTTCCTCCTTAGTGGGTTCCCCCTCTCGTGTTCCCTCCTTAGTGGGTTCCCCTTTAGTGTTCCCTCCTTAGTGGGTTCCCCTTTAGTGTTCCCTCCTTAGTGGTTCCCCTTTAGTGTTCCCTCCTGATTTGCTTTTCTTTAGTTTTTTAGATTGATTAGTAAGACTATAGGTGCCCAAGTCATTTGCGTCTTCTTAATTAAGGGGGTGCTCCTGAAAAGACGCACATTAGTGCTTAAGGTTGTTTTAAACTAACAGAATCCTGTCTAAAAAATTTGCCTTCTTATCCTACTAATTTTGTTGCTGAATAGTCATCTGTCCTTGGGCCAGATTTGTTTAGGATTTACGATTGTATGTGTTTTGGCACCAAAAGAGTTGTTAATTGTTTACACATAAAAGTATCCTACTAGTTTTTTTCTGATTTATTGATCTAGTTGTAAATAAAGTTGTCCAGTGTATCAGCCTCATACCGTATACTGTGTGCTTTATTAAAATTTTTTTTAAATAATTAACATTTTATTTGCACACACAATCAGGTGCACAGATACAGTTACCTTAGGACATACAGACTCATGGTTAACAGTGGACATGATGGAGTAAAGGAGGGAGGGAAGAAAAAAAGGGAAGAAATTGACTATTTAGGACGGTGCCTCAAGGTAAGATATTAACAATGGCCATATTTGCCAGAACTTGTACATTTTCTGATTTAAGTTGCAGGTCAGTTGCTCTAATGGAAGCACTGTTGTAACTTGGGACAACCAGAGATCAACAGATGGAACCTGAGGAGTTGACCATAAAAGTAAAGTACGTTTCTTGGCCAAAGATACTAATATAAAAAACAGGTGCTTTGTTTTATAGTCAAGTACAGAGTCCATATCAAAGTTTAATAGGAGCAAAGCAGGAGAGAAGACCAGGCCAACCTTCAATATTTTGTCAAGTTCACGGTGGATCCTCTTCCAGTAAAACTGTACCTTGTCACATGACCAAAAACAGTGCATTCATATACCTCTTTCCTGTTTACATTTGAAGCAAATATTTGACCAATCTGAGAAGATCTTATGGAGGCGAACTGGCGTAAGATAAGTCTTATTGATAAAATTAATTTCATGAAGTGATGTTGAGCATAATCTAGGCTGTAAACCTTCCCAAATCAATTTCCCATCATCGTCACCTATGTTCATGCCCAGATCTCGCTCCCACACACCCCTCAGGTCAGGTAGAGAAGATGTACAAACACCAGACAATCAGCTATATATTTTCAGGCCACAGTGCCCACCCAGAAGCTCCTCTATCCCAGTGAGCTCTATTCTCAGTTTACCTGCATCTTCTGTGGGCCTTATGGAGAAGTGTGAGTTTTGCTGTGGTAAAGTATTACTCCAGGGTAGAATCTGGGGACGTAGGGGCTACAGCCAACAGAGATTAAGGCTTACAATCTGTTAGATAAGAGGTGAACCAATCAAGAACAGAAACAACAATGCCCAGGAGGCTGGAGTGGCTCACCATGTCAAAGGCAGCACTTAAAACAAGCAGAACAAGAATACTAAGAGCATCTGCGGTCAGAAGCAGGTCAATGACAACCTTAACCAAAGCCATTTTGGGGCTATGAGTGAAAACCAGGCTGGAAGGGATTGAGATGATTGTTCATTTCTAAATAGGCTTTGAGCTGCATTGCAGTGACTCAAGGACTTTTGATGGTTATTTAAATTAGATGGGTCAAGGCCGGTTTTTTAAGGACTGGTGTAAATGTAGCTGGTTTGTAGGCTGAGGGGTCATGTCCAGAAAACAATGACTTAGTGGGGGGAACCCACTAAGGAGGAAACACTAGTGAGGGGCAGATCCCATCCGGAGGCAGGCACCCGCTACGGGGATTCCTACCCTTATGCGCACGGGCTGCAGCTTCGTGTTAATCCCATTAAGTTAGTGGTTTAGCTAAACCTGTGTTAAACTGAGACTAAACTGCTGCTAAGCTAATATCAGAGCCTTATAGTTCGGCTCGGGCTCAGCCTTAAACCACAGCACTTATATAGTTGCGCCGTTTCCCTCTTACCCACCCGTATTCAGGCACAGCCGTCCTGCGCTCGGTCTGATTGGCGGACTGCTGGAGAGCGAAGGGGCTCTTAGCCAATCATGGCGCAGGAGTTCTCCCGAATACGGGCGGAACGAAAAACAAAGTAGTCGTAACGGACCAGACTGACACCGTAGGAGAAAGGAAAGTAGGGAAAACCGACTCTTCTCAGCAGAAGATCATCCAGAGTGATTTTACTGATCTAAGTGGTAAAGGTGGTGATGGGGGCTCCGGCAGTCTGTGTGGTCTTCCTCAGTGGAGTGGTCGTCTCTGTTCTCGGAGGTGAGTTATTTACTGTTTCTGCTGCGCAGACATTCAGAATTCCTGATGAGCTACTTTAGTTGACTCCCCTTCATTATCTGGACTGGAGTTAAAGCGTCTGCTGGATAAACTGTGTTAAACCTAACTGGGTCCCTCACAGACCTGGACATATGAGAAAGAAGACATTTGGGAACAGAGAAGAGCTGCTGAGAAACAGTCCGCTGCTGAAGACCTTCATGTGTTTTACCCCTTTTTCCCACTTTGGGCTGTTTTCTTATTATTATGCATTTTTGTTTTTTTATCTTATCATCCATTAATTTACTCTTTTCACATGTATGACATGGATTTCTACACGTTATCTCCGGTAATCAGTAAGGAAACACCATTTATAAACTGGTGTGTCCGATTCAGGTTTCTTTTCAGACAGACTGGCTGATGACCAATGTTTGGCCTTCATATTCCAACAAAACCGTCCATCAGCCAGAGATCAGCTCCAAAATCACCCAAACCCACTACTGTTATGTTACATCTCTGCTTTTAGCCTTCAGATTATAAACAAAGGGCTTTCAGTTTACATTGATTTTGACTATTAAAATATCTGATATTAAATATGCAGCTCAATTTGTAATGAATAATAAAGCCTGTCTTGCTGTGTATCAGAGTTTTAGCACTGAGGCTGAATCCAAGAGGACAGAAAATCAATAAAAGAAAAAGTCCGCCTTATGGTAACTGTTTATTTTTACTCATAATAACCAACAGAATGAATCACCATTTCAGCTCACAGACACAACAGTTTCTGAAAAGATAACTACATCTGTACTTGTTTTCAAGATCTATGTAATTAAAAAATACAAAATTTTACAGGCACTAGGTACATTTTTGATCAGACATGATCCAAATTCATAAAGATATCAAATTTCTGTTAGCATTTACATGTCAAACAGTGGCGTATCTGAGTAGCCCAGGGTCTCCTGAAAATAACATATGGCCTGTGTGACTGTCTCATGTAAATACTTTAGAATTGTAATGTAATTGACCCAAAATACCAAAAATATCACCATGTTTTTTGTTGTCTAAAGGTTAAATGGGTTAAACTGGCATTTTAATTGTTGGGAATCCCGAGCTAGCTTCTTGTAGCTAGCTGGAGCCGTAGTTGTTGTGTGACGGGTGTCGTAAAGCCTTATGCAGTTCTCATGAGACGTCTCGTGCTGCTCCTCTAAAGTTACATAGTGCTATAGCAGGCGATTTGGCCCAGAGTGGCAACGACAGAGACACCTTTTCTCCCTATGATAAGTCAATGTACTGTCCAAATTATTTTGAAGCTCTTATTTTAAGGTAAAACTGTTACATAATGTTGCTTTAAGAAAGACATCACAGAAGAGGAGATAAGCATCACTTTAGTGGACACAGCCTGTTGTGGTAGTGTTTTGGTAGGATGTAATACTACTATTATCATCCTGACTCCATCAGTATGATGTTGATTTTGAGATAATTGGAGACCTTAACATCGAGCTGGACCTTCTTTTGGAGCCTCTGTGTGTGCGACGTTAATACCATGAGTAACATAGACTTAATAAAACAAACCAAAAAACTAACTACCATTTGTTGGGTATTATCATGTATGTAACGCTCATTAACTCTCACATATATTGCTAAAAATATCGCTAAAATGGCAAAGCAATATTACCCAGCAGTAAAGATGGTTCCCATCACTGTTTTTGTACTGAACAAGTGTTTTCATTTGTTGATAGATAGATAGATAGATAGATAGATAGATAGATCTTTATTGTTATTGTTAAAACAATGAAAAACCATTTAGCAGCTCTAGAATTGACAGCAATGAACAAAAGGAAATAAAGATAAATAAGGACAAAGAAATAAATATAAATACAGTGAGACAGTATATACAAACATACTAGTGCAAGATGAAATGATGTGTAGTGCAAAACGAAAGATCTCAGTCTTGGTCTAGTCACAGACTTAGTCTAAGCCTTAGGGGGGAGAGCGAGGGGAGGAGGGACTTATGCATCTGACTGCCTGTGGAAAGAAGCTGGTTTTTAATGTTAGTTTTTAGATCTGAATCTTTTTCCCGAGGGCAGGGGGTAAAATAGGTTACTTCCAAGGTGAGTAGGGTCCATTGAAATACGGCTTTCTTTTGGAGTCCAGGGTAAATGTCTCTGAGGTTGGGTAAAATAAAAACAGTTTAATTTACTTTTTCTTACTTTTCAAGAAAATAAATAATATTGTTTCTGTTTTAGAAGTTCATAATTTAATGATATATATTATTGTACAACCCAATTTCTAAAAAAGTTGTAAACAGAATGTAAACAAAAACAGAATGCAATGATGATGATATGATATAAACCCTATATTTAAATAAGATAAGATAAGATAAGATAATCCTTTATTAATCCCACAACGGGGAAATTTGCGGTGTTACAGCAGCACAGAAGACAGAGTAGCAGGAAATATACAAACAATATTTAAATAGAATAAACAATAAAAGTATAAAGATATATATGTATATGTACAAAAATTACAAGAAAAATATACAAAGTATTAAATTTAAATTTAGAAATGTAGAAATGTATGTATTGTAGTGAGTATTGCACAGTGAATAAAATAGCAAATAAATAAACAGTAATAAATGGAGAAATATTGCACTTGACGTAATTGCACATAATGGTGGTAAACATATTGACAGTGATCCGCAGTGAAATGACAACATATCAAATGTTAAAACTTTTATTAAAAATCTTATTAAAAATGTTTAACTCTTGTTAAAAATCTTTTGATGCCAACAACACATTCCAAAAAAGTTGTGACGGGGGCCTGTTTACCACTGGGTTTCATCACCTCTTCTTTTAACAACACTCTGTAAGTGTTTGGGAACTGAGGAGACACTGCTGTAGTTTAGGAAGTGAAATGTTTTCCTACTCGTTTGATACAGGATTTCAGCCAATCAACAGTTCAGGGTCTCCTTTGTCATATTTTTCATTTCATAATGTGCCAGATGTTTTCAGTGGTGACAGACTTGGACGGCAGGCAGTTCAGTTTAGCACCCGGACTCTTTTAATATGGAGCAATGCTGTTGTAATCCATGCAGAATGTAGTTTGCCACTGTCTTGCTGAAATAATCAAACTTTTTCGCTTCCCCTCGGTCCATTTAAATGAGCACAAGCCCAGAGAAGGTGGCAGCATTTCTGGATCCTGTTTATATCTGATTTCGTCTTTGCGATTTTGATTTTCACATCATTGCATTCTGTTTTTGTTTACATTTTGCACAGTGTCCCAACGTTTTTGGAAATGGGGTTGTATAAGCCTGGCTAACAGTTCTGTGTTACAGCCACAAAGTGGTAGATTAAAACAACATATGAGTGAATTGTGTGACAAAAAAGTTACAAAACATTATGGAGAATCTCAAGAAATATCTGTTTAATTGCTGTGCGTATTTGCAGGAGACATTGCTGTGGGAATAAGAGAAAGTAACCAAAACATGTCCTACTTGAACCTGTTTAACTACTCGGTTGCTTTTTACTTGTTAGGTTGAGATCCATGCTCCACTACAGGTGTGTCTCAAGTGTGTTTCAACATAAAATGATTAGAGATATTATGTTTCATTTATCAGTTAGTTTTCTTACACTTTTTTTCCACGTCCCGTCCAGATCCACACTCTCTGTACTACATTTACTCCGCCCTCTCCAAAGATGTCGCTCTACCAGGGATCTATGAGTTCACAGCACTGGGTCTGCTCGATGACCGGGAGATCGACTACTACAACAGTAAGGACCAGGTTAAGGTTCCTAAGCAGGACTGGATGAGGGAGAAGATGCAGGCAGATTACTGGGACAAAGGCACCCAGTCTCGCAAGAGCAAAGAGCAGTGGTTCAAGGTCAACGTGGACATCCTGATGCAGCGAATGAGACACACAAATGATACCAGTTAGTTTTTTTTCACTCATTCTTCTTAAAATAAAAGAATACATTTCCATCCACTGTATGATTCCTCTGGTTTTGAGCAGCTAATGTCTTTATCTTCACTGTCTTGTTACATTAACTCAATTCCAGACCTTCACGTTCTTCAGTGGAGACATGGCTGTGAGATCGATGAAGCAGATGGAAGTGTCAGATTTCTGAGAGGCATTGATGAGTACAGCTACGATGGGTCAGAGTTCCTCTCCTTTGATGATGACAACATGCGGTGGATCGCTCCAGTTCCAGAAGCTCTGCCAACCAAAAGGAAATGGGATGATGTGCCCATCCTGAACCAGTACACCAAGGGTTACCTGGAGAAAGAATGTGTGGACTGGCTCACCAAATTCATGGAGTACGGAAAAGAATCACTGAGAAAACACTGTGAGTCCCAAAGTCCTTGTATATTTTTCTAGTGGCTTATTTCCTGAAAGCATCATGATCATCATCATCATCATTCTTTATTTAAGCTCGGGTTTACATCAAGGGGGGGCCCTCATTTACCGACAGTAATAAGAGACAGCTTCAGTTTGTTTGTTAGATTATTGACGTGAGTTTTAAATAAAGTTTCTCATCAAGCCAGATGCCAAGGTACTCATTAGGGGTGTGAATCTCTAGGCACCTCATGATTCGATTACGATTCAGAGGGCTGCAATTATAAAAAGATTATCGATGCATCTCGTTCTCTATACAGGATTTCTTTTTTCTCCCTGTGTGAGGACTTGGTACTTAACATAGTATTACCAAAGGATTTGTAATGATCCATAATGAATTTACTTCCAGTATCTTTTATTACCAAATCAAATGGAAGTCTGCAATGAGAGAATGTCAAACGTTAAAAAGTTGTGAAGCTGAGGTCAGCTTCAGTTTCTAATTTTCCCGTTCCACCTTAAATGGTGCTGCATTTACATTCAAGCACCTCAGGCAGAATTTAAGGTGGAATGGGAAAATTAGAACAAGACGCTGGTGAAGGAGAAGCGACTTCAGCCTTGTAAAACAGTCGAACGTTGAGAGACATTTTACAATAAACTGTTCTCCTTTTGAGGAAAAGTTTTCTGGTGGAGACAGGAGGAAAGCGGCTATAGCTAAATCTTAAAGCAGAGTAAAGTAAGTCTGCATTTTCGTTTACATTGTTTAGTCTATACTAGGACATCATCACACACTGAGACATACTGGACATTAAATATTGTGGCTCCCAAGCTGGTTTGATTTTTGTTGAAAGGACAAAATGTCTCTTCTTATCATTTGTGTTGTGACTCCTGATCTAACCTGGCTTTAATGCAGAGGGAGCCGGTCGGATTTCTCGCTCATCCAGTTGTGTTTTTGTTATGTGCCCCACAGACTGTCCAGGAATTTGTGAATCGATTCAGTATCGTCCATGTTAGCATCGCGATGCATCTAAGAATCTGTTTTTCTCCACCCGCAGTACTTAAACTCATTTTCTCCTTCAATAGCGGATCCATGTAAAGTTACACCATTTAAAATGTTATTTTCAATATGAGCAGGTCTGGAATGAATTAAGTGAATGAATTAACTAAATGAATTAAGCCGAGACCACTGCTGTTTTTAAACATGTCGGGGTCCTGAGGTTCAGATTCTGAGACCTGTGGAGCTGAATGTGATCTAAGAGGTGATGGTGGAGGCTTTATATAGATGAGATTATCTATGTGAACTGTAGGGGTCTTTCTGAACCATCTACTATTCTTTCTTTGAGTGCTAATCACAGGAGTGCTAGAACAGTCATCACTGGAGTCCAGTATTCAGTTTGTATTAAAAACCCAATTCCATCTTTCCAGTAAAAGGATGGACGATTCCAGAAGAGATTAAAATCGTCTATAAAAGCCATGATGGTGGACAGACGGGTGGAGGTTTAAAATGCAGCTAAACCATCCTGCACCCTTTCCTAAAGGTGGGATTGGGCCAGAGATAAAAACAGTTTTTTAAAAAGTGAACAAACGTGTAAAATCACACTCTCCTATGTGATCACAGCCAACATGAGTAACTACTTTCTGAATAAATGATACTTATCAAGGAGGCTGGGGAGCTGCTGTGTGATGTCAGAGACCTTGGCACCTGAGCGGGAGTGGGTGACTGCTGAACGGTGTTTGATATTTCTCATGATTGAGTCCCCTACAGCCAAGGTGGATGGAGGGCGAGTTGCTCTGTCAGAGTGGTCCCGTGAGTGGAGGGGCGAGTCGGCCGCGTAGTGAATCCCAGACCACCACAGACCACGGCTCTGTTTTACACGGGGTGGAGCAGCTCATTCCCTTTGGTCTCTCCCCCCAGCCGAGGCCAGGGATCTTCAACATGGGCTGGAGCAGCCAAGACCCTGGCGTCAATAACAGAGGGAGTAGCGTTAGCCTGGCCTGACGCCCACATGAGCACTGAGATCCTGCCTTCCGGTTCAGTAATCCTTTAGGTCAGACGAGCACAGCCGGCACAACCGAGCGAGGAGTTCAATGGAGGCTCAGTAGTAAAAGGTTCCAGGTGAAAAGCAGAGATTCAAGAACAGTTCGGCTACACTGAAAACAAAACTCCCGTTCTCTGACGTGCTGGCCGTCACTCACTCTGACGAGTCAGCTGTCCTCAGACTTTTTGTGAGAGGCCGCTTTAAATTGGCTACAGTGTCGTAGAAAACACGTTTACAGGTTGTTTGCAGCTGTCTGGTAGTTAACCCTGCAGAAGATGGTAACGGGCTACTGAAGGACATTTTTGAAACTTTGTGAAAAGTGAAAACAGTGTGTGTGCATTTCATTGACTTTTCCTCTTTCAAAACAACTAAAATAATAATTTATTGCTGTCGTTTCAGCCAAACCAGATGTTCATGCATATGCAAAGAAATCTACAACTAACTCAGGCAAGCTGACCCTGACCTGCCTGGCCACGGGCTTCTACCCCAAAGACGTGAAGATGAGTGTGAGGAAGTTCCGCACTTCACTGCCTGAACATCTACTAACATCTTCAGGAGTCAGACCCAATGATGATGGAACCTACCAGCTGAGGAAGAGTGTGGAGATCCAGGAGGACGAAAAAGCAGAATATGACTGTTATGTGACTCACAGCTCCCTCGACAAACCGATAATTAAACAATGGGGTAATTATATCTGTGTACCAAATGTATTTCTGGCCTTTTATAGTTTAGAATTAGTTTCTCAGTGTAAATCTAAACCCAGTTTAACAGAATGGCAGATGTGCAGAGACTAGACCCAAAACTACATGATGAGGGCAGCTTTAAAGTATTTCCCCACTTCAATCAATATTAATATTGCTGTAGTGTTTTTCTGTCCCAAATAGAGCCAGGAGAGCAGGGTTTGCAGGAACGATGTCTTTATTGGAGGAGCGTTCTGTTAATCTGTTAATCAAAGCTCAGCTTTGCTCTAACAGTTCGCTCTAGGTTAAGCTCACGTCTTACTCTCTCAGCCCTCAGTGCTAGACTGTCTCAGTACTTACTAATCTACATAGACCACAGCCAGTGGGCTAGCTCCGCCTTCAAAATAAGAGTCCTCATAGAAAAACCCAGCAAATAAATGCTGCAGAACAATTACTCCAAAAGTACCATGAACACATTCTTGAACAAACTGCTACATATTGCTGGTGTTGGAACAAAACCTTGTTTCTCCATTTTTGTCATTGTTTTTTGAGTTTTTGATATAATTTGAAAAAGGCTGTTTCCGTTTACATTTTATGTAAATTTAACGATGAATTCACCAAAAGAAACGGCCCAAAATGACTCAGGAAAAAAGTCTAGTAACATTGATTCATAGTAAAAGTACAGTAGGTTTTTTCCTTCTTCTGTAAAGTTACTATTTTGGAGATAAAATTGTTGTCAAGAAATCAACATTTTGCCGGCAGAAGTCAAGGTTTTGTTCCGACAGCAGTTAAAAACACACGTACGTATGAATGTGTAGATATTTTTTAGAAGTAGCTGCTACTTGCAGTTGTAGTCATTATTTTCAGTAATTTCAGTTCAGCCACATCTACAAAAACAGATTCGCTTAAAGGGAATTTCAGGGATTTTCACACTTTCTGCATAATTCTGTGTGTGAAATGTAAACAGAGTGATGCAGGGTGGTTTGGTGTGAAATGGTCATATATCTTTACAGTGGTGGTGATAGGAACCAGGGGTCGCCATGACTACAACACAAATATAGACATTTTATTTACTATCCAGTGAACCTACACGAGTCTTCTGAGTTTATATGGAATGATGATGGTGGAAAATCTGAAATAATAAGTTTTCTTTGGGAACTATTTTGCCTCACAGCACCCTGCATGTACCTCTCTGACCTTAACAGATTAAGTATGTTTTGGGCCAAAATCTTCTCTAAACAATCATAAATCAATATCTCAGTCATCAGGCAGTGTCTGGTTCCTGTCACCACCACAGTGAACAATTCTGACTAAGTAAGCTTATCTAGAACGGAGTGTTTCACACTAAACCACTCTGAATGAACCTGTTTACACCTGAAACAATTTTGATAGGAATTTTGAAAAATCTCTGGAATCTACCTTTAAGCTTATTGTTATTCTTATTATTTTTATTATTATTCAAGCGTCCAAAATGGTTTTATTGGGGAAAAAATACACATAAATACATGATACGATATGTGATGCATACAAAAACCATCAGAAATCTTAATGATACTGTGATATTTTTTCACGTTGTTCCATATTTTTTCTTTTTTCCTGTAGTTTTAGCTGTTGTCTGTCTATTCTAGTTACTTTCCCCTCACGTTAAGTTGTAGAGTGCACAATAAAAGGCAAGCACAAATAGCCACTTGTATACCAAACAACAGAATGTATATGTTGTCCTGACATAATCTTTTACAGATGAACCAATAGATACAGGGCAAATACTCAGTGTAAAGTCCTGCTTGGGAAATTGTTGGTCAGACTGGGTTATGAGCAGCAGGCTCTTCAAAAAAATCATCATTCCTGTAAACACTGGTCTCCTGAACTCTCACATATGTCACAGATAAAGATTTACCACATCCTGATAACCACAGGGAAAAAAACACTTCTGCTGTCAGTCTTTGTCTTCTCAAGTCATGAGCTGCCTGCTAGCCACCTATCTTTGAACTCTGACCTGCCCCCTTGTGGATATAGCTTCATTTTCTAGAGAAAAGGTGCTGCTCACAGAGCTGCTGTGTGTGCATCTGCAGGAGCCACCAAAGCTGAGCACTTTTCATACAGGTACAGAGCTGGGTTCTGTCACTGGGACCTGATGGAGGGCTGAAACTGAAGGGGTCATCTGTTAAATCTCATACAGGCTCCTGAGTTCTGATGTTGCGTAAGCAGTTCAGTACTGATGCAGAAGACAACCTGCAGTAGTACACTAGACTGGGATTGGCTGTGACTAACATTTGTATTGTGAGCAAAATCTGTCACCCCTGCAGATGAACGATAGAAGATTTACAGCATTTTTTCACTGTCATGTTAGTACCAAGTTCAGGTTCAGGAATGGTTGGAGCAGTGATTGGCGGAGTGGTGGTGCTTCTGCTGATTCTCGGTGGGATCATCTTCGCCCTTATAAAGAAGGGGATAATTGGTGAGTATAGACTATCTTAGTACAGGTTCTGTTCAAAGAATGAAGTCTATTTATTGAAAATGTACTACCAAAAGGAAAAAAAGCCTCCTCAGGCTTCCACCTCAGCACCTTCAACCTTAAAATGAGATGCACAATGACAGGAAGAAGCTCATCACCAGGGAGATGTGTGATTAGGATCTTGTCATCATAAAACCAACAGTTCAGAAAAGTTCTTAACTAATGTTCAGAACACAGTGGTGAATTTACTTAAATACTTCTTGGTCAGTGTGAAATGAGCTAATGGTCCCCTCCTTTTTAGCTGAAGTTAGTATTAAATGTTAAGGTCTGAAATGGCCTTGTTTATTTGATGGTTTTTTGTAGTGAGGTCAGTCTTTTTCCAAGTTTATCATAGCTTAGCATCAAATATTGTTTTTCCATTATTTTGACTAACCAAAAATATAAACAATAATAAAAATGCAATTCTGAAAACCAAACAGCAGTTTACGTTTATTTTACATGTACATAATATTTTTTATTTACCAGTCATTCCAGGTGCTGTAAATGCTGCGCCTGCCCTGCAAGCCCCGCCAAATGGTCAGTGTCATTGTGATTTTGTTGCGCTGTACAGATCACAGTCAGTCATTTTCATTTTCATTATATTGAGAAACATGTTTGATAAAACCACAAAGAAAACTTGACAATTTTGGACACGTAACTTCTTCTTCTTCAGGTGTGATTGTTCCTGAAGAACCCTTGACAGCTGGTAAGTTCCATTTGAGTTTCATTCTTCCTCAGCAAACTCTATAGTAGAATCACTCTACTAGTACAGCACTGCTGTGACAGCAGCTACGGCTTTACTGTTATATAAGGCAGTAATGTAGCCTGTTTTAAAGCTCTTTTTTCTGTATTATTTTCTTGATTTAACTATGTTTCAATAAATTGAGACAAATAGCTTCTCAAAGGCAAAGCAATGATAGATACATTGCTGGGTTTAAGACATACTAATCACACAATGTAGCTCTTTTTACCTATTTTCATTCATATTTTACTGAACTCTCCTCCAGACCGTAAAGCTGGTGGTTCTGACTCCGGTTCTGACTCTGGTAATGATGTTCCACTTTAAAAACATTTGAGAAAAGCAATATTTGGAAATAAATTTCTCCACTGTAACTCAGTTGTGATGTGGCCTTATTGTTTCTTTCTCAGGACAGGGAACTGGCTCAACCAATAGCAGCAATGAAAACATTGTGGATGGATCATCTGACTCTGGTAATTTTTCTCCTCATAAATGTCTAAAAACTCAAGACATGCTTTTCTCATTATGGGCAGGTACAAAGAAATAACCATGTGCAGTCTGAGGGCTTTTCAGTGTACAGGGAGTTTTTAGTGTATGTATGTACAGTACTTGTATGTCCTGCAAGTACTGACTGAGAGAGAGACCAGTCCAGCTCTACAGACTGAGCAGCTGAGCAGAGTGACAGCCTGCTGTGTTCAGTGTGAGAGCAGCTTCGGTTTTCATAGCCCTTTTCTCCAGTAACCAGTTCCAGTAGGGCAGATAATGCAGAAACACCAAAGAGAAGCCTGCAGCATGTTTTCCCATGTTGGTCAGTCACAAGGAAATCTAGTCTAATTTCAGGTTTCATGTTCAGGTTTTTATTGTATAGGAAAATTTCTGTGAATATTGACTGAAAGAGAGACCAGCCAACTCTACAGACTGAGCAGCTGATGCCGCGTTTATCTTGAAAGCTGCTTTGGTTTTCGTTTTTCTCCAGTAACCAGTTTTAGTATGGGACATAATGCAGTAGCAGCTCAGAGAGGCTTAAACCAGAGAAAATAAACACGCTAGTGCTTCTGATCAGAAATTCAGCAGTTGCTTCTTGTCTTGCTTCTTCTGTGGAGCTGAGCGTCTCGACAGCAGGGTATTCTGAGAATCTGACAACGACCCCATAAACTCATTTAAATCTGCTGCCAGAGGAGTTCGACTGCATAATCGCCCACACTGGCCAGAGAGAAATGAATCAGCCTCTGAACTGTGTTTTGTATATATTTCCCCCAGTCAGAGTCCAGTTCAGAAATAGCTATGATTTGTGGGCTAAAATAAAAATGGCTAAAGCTTACTATGTTATGATGGCCTGCAGACCACAGTTACTATTCACCAACCGTTCTTAAGCACAAGTGTCTTCTTAAAACCAACTTAAGTAGTTTTCATGGAGATTCTGACATTCACCAGTGTTTTCTTAGGTAAGAACAGAATCTACACTCACTCTAGAGCACAAAGCTGTGAACAGTTCTGCGCTTTAAGAACACGTCATGAATCTGACGCAGACTTTTTCCTAGAACCTTTCTCAAGAACACTTTCAGGAAGATGTTGGTAAATGAGGCCCATTGTTATCAGGCTGTTAGTCTGGGTTATATTAAAGTGTTCTTTATTGATGCAAAGTGCTTCATAGCCATGGCTTGACCTCACAGTTTACAAGGCTGAAGATTAAGAGCTCTTGGTGCTTCATAAGAGTGGTGCTTCACATAAATGACACTGTGTTTTACAATTCTGACATAACCACATCATAATCGCTTAAGCCCAATTAATGTGTGGACGGCTCCAGCTTCATCTCTTTAGAAAGCTCTCCCACAATAACAAAGTGCTGTTCTTCACTACTATAGAGTGTTTCAGAGGACAGACGACATATTAGGACAGATATATAGGAAAATGCAGATTATAAGACTAAACTGGTTTATTTTTGTGCTGCTGAAAGGAGCAGACAGCAGTTTTGCTGACATTTAAATTGTCCAACTGAAAAGCGGTCATCCATCCCGCACACCGAGAACATATCAGTGACGTCTGGTGCTGCTGACAGTCGGCTCAAGACTGTTGTTTATCACTGGAAACTGTAGTGGCTTTTGAAAAACTCTGGAAAATCAGAGGGAGTGAACTGCTCCCTTGTTTTGTTTTCCTTTTAACAAGTCTGACAGTAACCTCGTTGCTTTTCAGGTGGGGCCAGCAATGGTGGGTCAGGAATACCCAATGGTCAGTCTGATCAAACAGAGGAGCAGACACTGCTGACTGCTTCACCTTAAACTCAGCAGGACAAATTATCGTAAGTAGTTCATACGTTACAATGCGTGCATTACAAATACAGATATACAGTGGAAAAACAAAACCATAAAAGACTTTCTGAAAGGGACGAGGAGGATTAGACAGAAATGTCCACAGTTAGTACTTACTGGAACAAATAGCCTTTTTATAACTGACACAAACTGAAACATTTTCTCTGAAATAAATAAAAATATAGTCTTGAATTCCTCAAAATCACCACACTGTGTCTTAATAACGGCTTCAACTCACCTGATAAATATCTTCAGATGTTTAACTGACCTGCTCTTCAGACTGAAATCCACATTGACTGTTAATCTATTATAGAGAAGCCTGTATAGTTAGAAGTGTCGTTTTTAGTGAAAAAATAAGCTCAAACTTTTGACTAGTCTTGTATCACGTTCTTTTTGTGATTATACATATTGGCTGAATAATTATAACATCTGGCACTGAAATAGCTTATGATTCATTGAAGAATATGGATATTTCAAAGTAATCTTCAGAGGTCTAGACCTGCTGCTCACAGTCAGGATCCTGTGGATTTACTTACAGCAGATTACAGATGGATTACAGTTACAGCTGCTTCAGATTATTTAACTGGTTACCCCCAAAAATATTATTGATTATATCTGATAACTGTGTATTTATCCTTAATGTGTCTTTCTGTAAAACACCAGTTCTGTTCTTATTAGTGGCCAGTGAGTGGAAGTACAAGGTAGGTGTTTCGAATAAAGTGGCCAGTTAGTGGAAGTACAAGGTAGGTGTTTCTAATAAAGTGGCCAGTTAACGGAAGTACAAGGTAGCTGTTTCTAATAAAGTGACTGGTGATGGTACATAACAACAGTTTAATATCTTTTTCACAGGAAACTCCAGAACAGAGGAAGTGAATTACACTGGAACTCCAGATCATTCAGGATTCCACACCAGACTTTCTTACAGCACAGACTCTTTTCCTTTCTTTTATTAAGTCAGTACTTTTACATCACTGTTACGTTAAAGCTGCACTATGTAAGATTTGGGTATTTGGAGACCTCTCTGATGGAAACGTGTAACTGCACACAACATGCAATTTTGTAACATGGGTCTGCGCGGGACTGTTTTTTCAGTTTCGCTCCCACAAGGTTTCATCCTGCTCCCCTAGAAAATCGTAATCGTTTGTACCGTTCAAGCCCACAACTGAAATGTGTTTTCCTGCTTCCGCCCAAACAGTTCCATCAAGGCAAAGTGACATTCAATATCTGACACAGTTTATTCAGAAATACATTCCTCTCTGGTGAAATAACACGGCAGTCATGGTCATCAGGCTCACTGTGAGTAACTTCACCAAACGCCGTTTATTCACCATTTAAACACAAAGCAGGAATTAAACCACAGAGCGGCTATTTTTGGTGTTTTGCGGGGCAGCTGTGGCCTTCATATCATTTAGGGGTGGTTCTGCTTTATTCAGGCTGTTCATTAGTTTGTGGCGCTTCTCTTCATGCGTGCTTCATCCCGCTCCCGCCTGCAGTGGGCTGGTTTCCCTCCCGCTTCCACTCACAACACTGAACATTAGACCCAGAAGGCATTGTGGCGGGTCCAGCGGGAATCCGCAGGATTGCAGACCCCTACTTCAAACCCCTTCCCTGAGGAGATGAGTCTGATGACTGAGAGTAAGACGCGTCTTCTGAGGATGTGAATCAATAATTTACTGTTCTCATCATATCTTCATCAGTATAATGTTGATTTTGAGATCATTTGAGGCGTAAACATCGAGGCGGACCTTCTTTTTGAGTCTATGTGGCGTTAAATGAAGTTAAAATGTAAAGATGTACAATGTGGTGTGAAAAACTCTCGACAGGGCGACTCAGAGTGGCGCACACTCGCCGTATTTTAGCCTAATTTTGTTCTCCTCACTTAGTAATGATACTTATTTCAGTTTCAACAAAAACAACCTACATAGTGCAGCTTTAACAGAAATCCTCCATAATAGAAACTACATTCCAGTACTCTTAATGATAAACAGCAAAAAACTAAGCAAAAACTCAACAAAGATGGAAACATTTTGATTTATGAATAGAAAAGGATTAATACATCGTTATAATGAAAGATTATTCATTTTAATAAGTTTATAATAATGCATTTATTAAGGCAGATGGTTATGTCTATTTTCTACTGCTAAGTTTTTAGCATAAGTTCACCAAGCCAAAGATTTATACACAGAACATTATTGCTTCCATTCAAGCTTTTTATGAATCCCTTATCAGCACTGAGCAAAACATGTCAATTTTAAAAGCTCATATTCATAGGCGGTTATGCAGACTTCCTTTCTGATATATTTGTGCTTTTAATTGATTTATTTAGCATCTGTTTTAATCATGAGCTGATTGTATTCAGAGTACTGCTTTAGTGTTAAACTACTTGTTATGCAATGTCACACGTGCACCAGCTTCATTAAAAAATGCACTTAAGCATAAGACAGTTTAAACTTAAGACTGTAAAGGGCTTGTAAATGTAACTGTACTCAGGAATGTTAAATGGTCTGTGTTCAGTATGGACTCTTTACAGAGACACTGTGTCTGTATAGTAACAGTCTTGTGTTTAACACCACTGTACAGTGCAGGAAGCTGTTAGCTAGAACTGTTAAATCAGCAGATTAAAATGGTAAACAGTGAATACAGTCTGCAGAGGAAGACTGTCTCTATACTGAGTGAGTTTAGTATTTGAGTCTCTCTCATCTGGACCTTTTAGAGCAACAGCAGAAAAAAAAGTCTGTTAAAGATCCAAACTGAACAAAACCAGACAGAACTTACTGGGGACCTTTTATACAGTTTACTGTGTGTTTATATGGATTGTATATGTATGTATTTTTATGATTACAGAAACTTCTTAACTCTGAAATCTGATCTGTTTAGTCACCATGAAGTTTGTTCTCCAGCTCCTCACACTGAATTCCCAAACTGTCATCACCACTGAGCAGCTTGTTTAGTTTTTCATTGCGTCAGTTTTATGGCTCAGTCTGATTTGGTCAGACTCTGAAGATCAGACTACACGTTTGGTGAATGGTGTTGGGTTCATTTCTGGCTGATTCCAGGTTGTTTAGCTGTTCTTCTGTCACAGCTGCCGACTGAAAAGCTGCTCAGTGGTGATGACAGTTTGGGAATTTAGTGTCGTCTGATCTTCAGAGTCTGACCAAATCGGCTGTCGGTCAAATGTGATCTTAAAAGTGTCCATTTTCTGTTTGTGGCAAAGTAAGAAGTAAAAACGTTCAAATGTCTTGAGCGTCTCCTACAGCTGTCAAAGTCGTTGCTTAGCAACGGCGTCTCAGCGGAGTGATACAGTGTTGGTGAAAAAGCCGTGATGTTATGGTGAAATAACAGCACAGTTGGAACGCTTCTCAACCAATCAGCTCGCGTGGCCGGAACTAACTGGTGTATAACGTTAGATAAGATTCCTAAATTAAGATCAGATTTGCTTCTGTAATATAAGTTAGTGAAACATTTCGACCTGTCAGGTCTAAACTTAAGACTAAAAGATAGGAAGTTTCTGTAAAACAGACCCAGATTTTTTATTGCTTTCAAACTTTGGACATTAGAACATTTTTCAGTCTTGGTTGGACAGTTCTGTTCTGTTTCTGTTCAATTCTATTGTTTTGTTCTGTTCTATTTTGTTCTGTTCTATTTCTGTTCAGTTCTGTTTTGTTTTGTTCTGTTCTATTTCTATTCTGTTCTATTTTGTTCTGTTCTATTTCTGTTCAATTCTATTGTTTTGTTCTGTTCTATTTCTGTTCAATTCTATTGTTTTGTTCTGTTCTATTTCTGTTCAATTCTATTGTTTTGTCCTGTTCTATTTTGTTCTTTTCTACTCAATTCTATTGTTTTGTTCTGTTCTATTATGTTCTGTTCTGTTTCTGTTCAATTCTGTTGTTTTGTTCTGTTCTATTTTGTTCTGTTCTGTTCAATTCTATTGTTTTGTTCAATTTCTGTTTCTATTCTGTTTTGGATCATGGACGTCTTTAATACTGTCAGTTAAATTTACTATATTGCAATAAAATTGTTACACCAGTTGTTGTGAATTTTTTTTGTCATGTAGGCTCTTAAACTGCATTGCTGTCTGTGGAAGCTGCATTTTAAAGTGCACCTGCAGTTTAAACCAATTGCAGCCCTTTAAAAATCACACATCTGCCACTAGATGTCGCTGTGTCTCAGATTTAACAGAGGTTTATCTTAAGCCTGATGAACAGATGGTTTTACTGAGGTTTAGGGCATTTTCAGCTCACGTGTTTCAATATTCCAGACTTAGGCCCTCTTACCTTCCATCGTAATGCTACGTGGATTTCATGGTATGTTCTAATTAAATGCTGTACTGCTTAATTAAACACTGAGGTGCTGTGCTCAACTAGAGGAGGTGTTAATGTATTACAGTCTTGATTACATTGACTGTCTTGATTAGTGTTTTGCTGTTTTAGTTTAGTCCTGAAATAAAAAGGCTGTTATTGTGTGCTGAGAGTATAAATGAACTGTTAGAAGACAGTTTTAATCTGTGTATTTAAAAGTTGATGCACACAGAGTTGCCCCATCATTAGCTGAGCCACTGTTCAGAATTGAATGAGAATATATGGGAGTTTCCTCGCAGCAAGAGAGGCCTGGGTTCGATTCCCTGGTCAGGCTACGAGGGTCCTTTCTGTGTGGAGTCTGTATGTTCTCCCCGTACCTGTATGGGTTTCCTCCCACAGTCCAAAGACATGCAGTCAGACTAAACTTCCCCAGGTGTGTGTGTGTGTGTGTGCGCGTGTGTGTGTGTGAGAAAGTGTATGTCGGTGTGTCTGCAGAGAGAATAAGTACCACTCTGTAATGTCTTCTGGGGTTCTCAAACGCTAGAGGGCGCTCCTGAGTCCAAATAAGTGAGTTAATATGGAGTATTTGAGCAAAATCATAGTTTATAAATACATTTTATAAAAACATTTTTAATGTAAAAAATTAATTCCTGAACACAGAACAGCATAAAACACTTTAACACTGCTGTTTTATTTTTAAGAGCTTTTAATCTCGAGTTATAGAAGTTTAAAATGGCACCTCATGTACGTTCATGATGCTCGCCAACCAATCAGCACTCAGGATCAGTAATGTTAGCATCCTGCTGCTTGGATAAACTATGTTTAACAATTTTAAACAATTTAAGTATTAAAAAGTCATGTAAAATTGTAATATTTTCTAATAAAAATAATAACAATGTTTAATAATTAATTCCAAATTACAATTTTAGTGCACAGTTTCTGTTTATTTGCTGAGTTTAAGATATTGGAAAAAATGCTATATAAAATGTGCCATAACTTTTGCACAGGCCACAGTTTATGTTTTTTATTTTATCCCACTATGTTAAACTCAGATGTGTTTCACTTATTTACACTCAGAAAATCAACAACAACATGGAATTTGATTAATAAACAGACATGTTCATAAAGAGCTTTTAGATATTTAGGACTCCAGGAAGACGCAGATACAGTCAGCAGACACGGCACAGAGCAGGAATAACAGTTCCCCCTTATTCTTATTGATTAATAAATTATATTTGTCCTGCACCCATAGATAAATGTGTTTTTTCTGTCCTGTCATGTGACGCCTGAAAAATACCAATAAGCAAAAAAAACAGTATTTTCAGTAAAACTGAAGTACATAAAAGCAATGTAAACTGTTTAGCTACAAACCCAAGCAGAAAAATGTGGGACCGTAGGTAAAATGCAAATAAAAACAGAAAGCAATGATTTATTAATCTATTTTGACCTACATTTAAACAGGCAAGATAAGTAAAGCTTTACCATATCAACTTAAATATACGCTCATGCTGAGACTGATGCCTGCAACACGTTCCAAAACAGCTGAGACAGATGCAGTTCAAGATCAGGAATACTGTGAAATGTTAATTCATTCTCGGGTATAAAAAGAGCATCTAGAAAATGCCTAGTCTTTTATGAGCAGGATGGGTTGAGGCTCACCTCTTTGCCAAAATATGCATCTGCAAAAATCCAACAGATTAAAATAACCTTCCTCAATGAATGATTGCAAGGATTTTTGGTGTTTCACCCTCTACAGTGCATAATAACATCAAAAGACTGAGGAAATCCGTAAGAATCTCTGTGCATTAAGGGCAAAGCTGAAAACCACCGCTTGAATGCTTGTGACCGTCAACCCCTCAGACTGCACTGTGTGTCTGCACATGTTACAGCAGTAAACGTAAACGTGCGTCTTATTAAGCTCAACATATGACAGTAAAGGCCTGGACGGTTGCACAGCTGAAGACTTGTATAAAAGAAGAAGGGCAAAATAAATTCTGCTTTCAAAACTGGATCAGTTTGAATCTTCAGCCCCCAAATGTTTATTGTTGTTAAAGGAAAGGTGAGGTAACGCAGTGGTAAACCTGCTCCTGTCCCAACTTTGTTGGAACATGTTGAAGGCATCATATTTGGAATGAGCTTTTATTTACAAAAACAATGAGATTCATAAGATAAAATATAAAATATTGTGTTTTTCTACTGTTTTCGATTTAACACAGGTGAAACATAATTTACTCATCGTTACTTTCAGGGTTTTTTTTAGCATTTTACATTTTACTTTTTGGAATTGGGTTTATACATTAAAGTCTACTGACAGTCGGTCTGGAGTCTAATTGTACAGCCCCGTCCTGATCTTACTTCCCTTGGTTTCCAGTCACATTTTTTGCAGTGTTATTGGATGAATCATACGTATCAGAGCCGTCAATCAGCAACGCTGGGAGGAACCTTAAAAGGCTTCAGTAGATATGTGTGTGTCTGGCCTTTTTGTGAACTTAAATATATTCATGAATAAACACAACAACGCTAGCACACAACTAAGCTAAAATCAGTGACAAGTTTAGCAGTTAACTGTAATGGCTTGCTAACTCTGAGGGTGTTTGGGAAGTGAAATCAGGAGATGTGAGATTGGGCTCCACACACTGGGCTGACTGTTATCACACAGTAGGAACTGCCCTTTTGTGACAGCTGTGTCCTCTGCTGTTACTTAAGACAGATAACAAAAGAGGAGATAAGGGTCACTTTAGTGGACACAGCCTGTTTTGATAGTGTTTATTTATAGTTCTCAACATGACATTGTCTGACAGTGTTTAAAGCAAAGGGCTACTCCATGTGCCGGTTAAAATGACCAGCGAGAGCAGGTACAAAGTGGGTGGATCTAACAAATTAGCCAGGGTGCTAGATAGCTTGCTTTGATCAGACTTCTTCTCTTAAAATCAGACTAAAAAGAATCTCACATAGTACAATATTAGACAGGCAGAGTGTGCATATTCAGAAAGGAAGCATACTAGTCACTTAAAGATGCACTGTGTAAGTTTTGGGGATTTGGAGACCTCTCTGGTGGAAGAGAAATTGCAGTGTTACAGTAGCAAGATATATAACTGCACATAAAGTGACATATATTAGACATAAATAAAATAAGAGTAAAAAAAAAACAAATTAAGCAGAAATAGAAAATAGATATGAATTAGAGTAAGCTAGGAAAGATATATATTTATATATAAAAGAACATGAGTGAATGTGTAACTGAAAATACTTGATGAAAAAATGTTACAAAACTACAAAAAGTCTTGGAGAATTTCATGAAATATCTGTTCAATTCCTGTAATAATTTGCCATTGACGTTGCTGTGGGAATAAGAGAAAACAACCATAACATATTCTACTTGAACCTGTTTAACTACTTGGTTGCTTTATACTTGTTAGGTTGAGACCTGTGCTCCAATGCTTTTACAACTCCATTTCCAAAGAAGTTGGAACGCTGTGCAGAATGTAAATAAAAAATAGGATGCAATCATCTGCAAATCATGCAAACCATATTTTTAAAGGAAAATACTGCAAAAAACTACATATCTAATGTTGAAATTGAGAATTTTTTTGTTTTATGAAAATGTTTTCTATTCTTGTTTGATATAGGATTTCAGCTGCTCATCAGTTCAGGTTCTCCTTTGTTGTATTTTTCATTGCATAATGCACCAGATGTTTTCAGTGGTGACAGATCTGGACTGCAGGCAGCTCAGTTTAGCCTCATTACCATCAATGCCATTGCAATACATGCAGAATGTGGTTTGACATTTGCTGAAATAATCAAGGCCTTCCCTGAAAAAAGACATCGTCTGGATGGCAGCATAAGTTGCCAAAACATAAATATATCATTCAGCACTAATGGGGTCTTCATAGATGTGCACGTCACCCATGCTATGTGCACTAATGCCCCCCTATACCATCATGAATACTGGCTTTTGAACTGCGCACTGATAACAAGCTGAGTGGTCTTTAGACTGGAGGACACAGTGTCCATGATTTCCACAAAGAATTTCAAATGTTGATTCGTCGGACCACAGGACACTTTTCCACTTCAGCTCAGTCCATTTTAAATGAGCTCAGGCCCAGAGAAGGTGGCAGTGTTTCTGGATCCTGTTTATATCTGGTTTCTTCTTTGCGTTTTAGAGTTTTAACTTGCATTTGTGGATGCAGTGATGAACTGTTTTCACAGACAGTGTTTTTCAGAGGTGTTTCTGAGCCCATGCAGTGATTTCCACTACAGAATCATGTCTGTTTTTAATGCAGTGCTGCCTGAGGGCCCAAAGATCACGGCCAGCAAATACTGGTTTTTGGCCTCGTCCCTTACATACAGAGATTTCTCCAGATTCTCTGAATCTTTTAATGATATTACGTACCGTAGATGATAAAAAGCAAAAGTTCTTTGCTATGTTATGTTGATAAATGTTATTCTTGAATTGTTGCACTATTTGATCATGCAGTCTTCCACAGAGTGGTGAACCCCTCCTCATCTCTACTTCTGGAAGACTCCGCCTCTCTGAGATGCTCTTTTTGTATACAGTCATGTTACTGACCCGTTGCCAATCAACCACCAGGTGTTTTTCAGCATTACACAACTTTACCAGCCTTTTTTTACCCCCATCCCAACTTTTTTGGAACTTGTTTTTGGCATCAATTTAATTTTTTTTCAAAAAACAATAACATTTCTCAGTTTCAACGTTTGATATGTAGTCTTTGTAGTATTTTCAATTAAAAATAGGGTTTAAATGATTTGCATCATTGCATTTTGTTTTTACTTACATTTTGCACAGCGTCCCAACTTTTTTGGAAATGAGGTTGTATTTTACAGTGTTTTCAAAATAAATTGATTGGAGATATTATGTTTTAGAGTAAAAACATTACCACTGGTGATGGTCACTGTTTTTCCTCCTTAGTTTTTTCCTCACTAGTGTTCCCTCCCTAGTGGGTTCCCCTTTAGTGTTTCCTCCTTACTGGGTTCCCCCTCTCGTGTTCCCTCCTTAGTGGGTTCCCCTTTAGTGTTCCCTCCTTAGTGGGTTCCCCTTTAGTGTTCCCTCCTTAGTGGTTCCCCTTTAGTGTTCCCTCCTGATTTGCTTTTCTTTAGTTTTTTAGATTTTTTTAGAAGTCATTTGCGTCTTCTTAATTAAGGGGTGCTCCTGAAAAGACGCACATTAGTGCTTAAGGTTGTTTTAAACTAACAGAATCCTGTCTAAAAAATTTGCCTTCTTATCCTACTAATTTTGTTGCTGAATAGTCATCTGTCCTTGGGCCAGATTTGTTTAGGATTTACGATTGTATGTGTTTTGGCACCAAAAGAGTTGTTAATTGTTTACACATAAAAGTATCCTACTAGTTTTTTTCTGATTTATTGATCTAGTTGTAAATAAAGTTGTCCAGTGTATCAGCCTCATACCGTATACTGTGTGCTTTATTAAATTTTTTTTTAAATAATTAACATTTTATTTGCACACACAATCAGGTGCACAGATACAGTTACCTTAGGACATACAGACTCATGGTTAACAGTGGACATGATGGAGTAAAGGAGGGAGGGAAGAAAAAAAGGGAAGAAATTGACTATTTAGGACGGTGCCTCAAGGTAAGATATTAACAATGGCCATATTTGCCAGAACTTGTACATTTTCTGATTTAAGTTGTAGGTCAGTTGCTCTAATGGAAGCACTGTTGTAACTTGGGACAACCAGAGATCAACAGATGGAACCTGAGGAGTTGACCATAAAAGTAAAGTATGTTTCTTGGCCAAAGATACTAATATAAAAAACAGGTGCTTTGTTTTATAGTCAAGTACAGAGTCCATATCAAAGTTTAATAGGAGCAAAGCAGGAGAGAAGACCAGGCCAACCTTCAATATTTTGTCAAGTTCACGGTGGATCCTCTTCCAGTAAAACTGTACCTTGTCACATGACCAACAACAGTGCATTCATATACCTCTTTCCTGTTTACATTTGAAGCAAATATTTGACCAATCTGAGAAGATCTTATGGAGGCGAACTGGCGTAAGATAAGTCTTATTGATAAAATTAATTTCATGAAGTGATGTTGAGCATAATCTAGGCTGTAAACCTTCCCAAATCAATTTCCCATCATCGTCACCTATGTTCATGCCCAGATCTCGCTCCCACACACCCCTCAGGTAAGGTAGAGAAGATGTACAAACACCAGACAATCAGCTATATATTTTCAGGCCACAGTGCCCATCCAGAAGCTCCTCTATCCCAGTGAGCTCTATTCTCAGTTTACCTGCATCTTCTGTGGGTCTTATGGAGAAGTGTGAGTTTTGCTGTGGTAAAGTATCTCTCCAGGGTAGAATCTGGGGACGTAGGGGCTACAGCCAACAGAGATTAAGGCTTACAATCTGTTAGATAAGAGGTGAACCAATCAGGAACAGAAACAACAATGCCCAGGAGGATGGAGTGGCTCACCATGTCAAAGGCAGCACTTAAAACAAGCAGAACAAGAATACTAAGAGCATCTGCGGTCAGAAGCAGGTCAATGACAACCTCAACCAAAGCCATTTTGGGGCTGTGATATGGGCGAAAACCAGTCTGGAAGGGATTGAGATGATCCTTCATTTCTGATAGGCTTTGAGCTGCATTGCAGTGACCCAAGGACTTTTGATGGTTATTTAAATTAGATGGGTCAAGGCTGTTTTTTAAGGACTGGTGTTAATGTAGCTGGTTTGTAGGCTGAGGGGTCATGTCCAGAAAACAATGACTGTTTTTTTAGTTTTTTTTTTCGGATGGGCAGATCCCATCCGGAGGCAGGCACCCGCTACGGGGATTCCTACCCTTATGCGCACGGGCTGCAGCTTCGTGTTAATCCCATTAAGTTAGTGGTTTAGCTAAACCTGTGTTAAACTGAGACTAAACTGCTGCTAAGCTAATATCAGAGCCTTATAGTTCGGCTCGGGCTCAGCCTTAAACCACAGTACTTATATAGTTACGCCGTTTCCCTCTTACCCACCCGTATTCAGGCACAGCCGTCCTGCGCTCGGTCTGATTGGCGGACTGCTGGAGAGTGAAGGGGCTCTTAGCCAATCATGGCGCAGGAGTTCTCCCGAAAACGGGCGGGGAAAAAACAGTAGTCGTAAACTAACGGACCAGACTGACACCGTAGGAGAAAGGAAAGTAGGGAAAACCGACTTTTCTCAGCAGAAGATCATCCAGAGTGATTTTACTGATCTAGGTGGTAAAGGTGGTGATGGGGGCTCCGGCAGTCTGTGTGGTCTTCCTCAGTGGAGTGGTCGTCTCTGTTCTCGGAGGTGAGTTATTTACTGATTCTGCTGCGCAGACATTCAGAATTCCTGATGAACTGCTTTAGTTGACTCCCCTTCATTATCTGGACTGGAGTTAAAGCATCTGCTAGATAAACTGTGTTAAACCTAACTGGGTCCCTCACAGACCTGGACATATGAGAAAGAAGACATTTGGGAACAGAGAAGAGCTGCTGAGAAACAGTCAGCTGCTGAAGACCTTCATGTGTTTTACCCCTTTTACCCACTTTGGGCTGTTTTCTTATTATTATGCATTTTTGTTTTTCATCTTATCATCCATTAATTTACTCTTTTCACATGTATGACATGGATTTCTACACGTTATCTCCGGTAATCAGTAAGGAAACATCATTTATAAACTGGTGTGTCCGATTCAGATTTCTTTTCAGACAGACTGGCTGGTGACCAATATTTAATAACAGTGTTTTCTCTTAACCCTCGGACCCTAAGAAACGGTAGGTCACTTCTAGCCTTCATAACTTCAGAGAGATTTAAGATCGAAACATGATCCACATATCAGGACATTCCGCAGACCCGCCCATAATTAGCAAGCATGACATCATCAGCAACAGCAGTAAATCGGCTTGGAAAATCCCCTAAATCCTGATGTTCTTGCTCTGCTGTTTGGCCTTCATATTCCAACAAAACCGTCCATCAGCCAGAGATCAGCTCCAAAATCACCCAAACCCACTACTGTTATATTACATCTCTGCTTTTAGCCTTCATATTATAAACAAAGGGCTTTCAGTTTACATTGATTTTGACTATTAAAAATATCTGATATTAAATATGCAGCTCAATTTGTAATTAAAAATAAGATTTGTAATTAAAAATAAAAAACATGTCTGCCTCATGCTAATTGCTTATTTTTACTCATGATAACCAAAAGAATGAATCACCATCAAAATTATTGCACTTCCAGCTCACAGACACTCCATACTGACAATTTCTGAAAAGATAACTATAACTGCACTTGTTTTCAAGATCTCTATGATTTAAAAAATGACTAAGTTTAGCAGGCACTGGGTACATTTTTGATCAGAAATGAGCGAAATTCATAAAGATATAAAATTTCTGTCAGCATTTACACGTCAAACAATGGCATATCTGAGTATCCTAGGGTCTCCTGAAAATAACAACAAATGGCATGTTGACTGACACATGTAAATACTTTATAATTGCAATTGTAATTGACCCAAAATACCAGAAACAAATCTCCAAATTTATTGGTTTCTAAGAGTTAAATTGGTCAAACTGACGTTTGTCAAAAAAATTGTAAATCAAAAATGTTATTTAAATAACATGAATCAAATAAAGGGCGACTGGCTGTTTACCACAGTGAGTTGAGTGTAATTACGCTATGCCATCTGTACAGGTGTAGCTGCAGCGTATAAATACAGCTCGAGTGCACATGTGATCATACTCATGTTATGTCACCAGATCCTGGATACCATATGTAATGTACTGAAACAGATTGGAAGCAGAGACACCACTGAGTTATGGTCATTATCACTGCTAAAATGCTCATTATATTAGGTTATATTAGGTTAAAACTGAAAAGCACTGTCATGTTACACCGGTACAGGTGACACACTGTCCAGCACTAGAACCCATCACTGTTTCTGTTCAGTGACTTTAAAATTGATCCTGAATAAATTATAAAACTTGTTACTGCTGCTACACTGTATGGTGTCATGTTCCCTTTGTGTAATCTAAAGGGAATAATTCATTATTCAATCATTATAAAGCATCTGAGCTTTGTTTTCTAGCACCTACAGTTGTATGAACCTCTGGTCAAATTCCCTGTTGTTGTTGATTGACTGAGTGTAACTAAGTGAACACATCCTCTAGAACACACTTCTGCACAATTTAATACACAGTTACTGTTTATTTACTGAATTTAACAAACTAGGACAAAAACAAAGTACAAAATGTGGCCTGTGCAAAAGTTATGGCGCAATTTATATGTTATATTTAACTTTTTTCCAGTATGTTCCACTCAGCAAGTTAACAGAAACTGCCCTAACATTAGCAGAATGCCATATACCATATGTCTCTCTGTAGAGGATGTGTGAACTTATTTACACTTAGACATGGAATTAGTCCAGGGCTGTTCAGATATTTGCATTTGACTGTAGTTTACTGGATAAAATCATGACATTCTTCAAATGTGGTCACTACAAATAATTAGACACTATTAAATTTTGTCGTTGATAACTCCACTCAGAAAAGACCCTGGTCACCCAGCCGGGAATCAAACCTAAGGCCTTCTTGCTGTGAGGTGACAGACCCCAGTTTGTGTCTTCAGTCCCCAAATGTTTATCGTTGTTAAAGGAAAGGTGATGTAACACAGTGGTAAACCTGCTCCTGTCCAAACCTTTTCAGAACATGCTGCAGGCATCATATTTGGAATGAGCATATATTTACAAAAACAATTAAGTTCATAAGATAAAACATAAAATATTATGTTTTTCTGTCACTTTCAATTTAAAACAAGTCGAACAGAATTTACTAATCCTTGCTTTCTTTTTTTATTTGCATTTTAAATTCAATTTTTGTTACATTTTTTTGGAATTGGGTTTGTATATCAAAGTAGAAGTCTACTGAGTCTAATCATACACCCTGTCCTGATCTTACACTCTGATTCGGATTTTCATTGTTTTCCCATTAGTCGTTAGACTGTCTTGCATCTCCTTTTCTCTTTTAGCTCTCACCTATGAGTAATAGTCAAATATTTACTCTTGTCCGATCTCTTACTCAGTCACTCTCTCTTTTTCTCTTCCTTACTTCCTCTGACAGCATCTTCATTTTTTGGCAGACACTGCTATGATGCCCATGTTGGGAATACAGAGCTAGCTTCTTGTAGCTAGCTGGAGCTGTAGTTGTGTGAAGATACGTAGCACTATAACAGGCGTCCAGTTATTATAAGTCAGTGTACTGTCCAAATTATTTTGAACCTATTGATTTGAGGTAAAACTGTTACATGATGTTGCACTAAGAAAGACGTCACAGAAGAGGAGATACGCATCACTTTAGTGGACACAGCCTGTTGTGGTAGTGTTTTGGTAGGATGTAAGTGAATTATCTACTATGATCAGCATGACTCCATCAGTATGATGTTGATTTTGAGATAATTGGAGACCTAATCATCGAGCTGGACCTTCTTTTGGAGCCTCTGTGTGTGCGACATTAATACCATGAGTAACATAGACTGTTTTTTACTGTTTTTTAGTGACCACTGAACAAGTGTTTTTCATTTGTTGTTTTTTGAGGAAATTTCTATATCACATAGATAGATAGATAGATAGATCTTTATTGTTATTGTTAAAAATAATGCAAACCATTTAGCAGCTCTAGAATTGACAGCAAAGACATGAACAAAAATAACAAATATAAATGCAGTGAGAAAGTATATACAAACATGGTAGTGCAAGATGAAAGATATCTTAATCTTAGTCTAGTCACAGACTTAGTCTAAACCTTAGAGGGGAGAGGGAGGAGAAGAGGGACTTAGGCATCTGACTGCCTGTGGAAAGAAGCTGGTTTTTAATCTGTTAGTTTTTGCTCTAATCGATCTGAATCTCTTTCCTGAGGGCAGGGGGTAAAACAGGTTATGTCCAAGGTGAGTAGGGTCCATTGAAATACCGCTTTCTTTTGGAGTCCAGTGTAAATGTCTCTGAGGTAAAAAAAAAAAAACAGTTTAATTTACTTTTTCTTACTTTTCAAGAAAATAAATAATATTATACCTATTTTAAAAGTTCATAATTTAATGATGTGTAATATATTATTATATCCTGCCTTCTGCCCAATGACAGCTGGGATAGAATCCAGCTCCCCCTGCGACCCAGAAGGAGAAGCGGCTTAGACAATGTGTGTGTAATATATTATTATACAACCCAGTTTCCAAAAAAAGTTGGGTGCTGTGCAGAATGTAAACAAAAACAGAATGCAATGATGTGCAAATGATATAAAGCCTATATTTAAAAGATAACATATCAAATGTTAAAACTCAGAAATGTTATTGTTTTTTTTTTTAAATATGTGCCTGTTTGAATTTGATGCCAACAACACATTCCAAAAAAGTCAGGACGGGGGCCTGTTTACCACTGTGTTTCATCACCTCTTCTTTTAACAACACTCTGTTTGGGAAGTGAGGAGACACTGCTGTAGTTTTGAAAGTTAAATGTCTCCCATTCTTATTTGACTTAGGATTTAAGCTACTCATCAGTTCGGGGTCTCTTTCGTTGTATTTTTCATTTCATAATGTGCCACATGTTATCAGTTGTGACAGGTCTGGACGGCAGGCAGTTCAGTTTAGCACTCGGACTCTTTTAATATGGAGCAATGCTGTTGTTATGCATGCAGAATGTGGTTTGACGTTGTCTTACTGAAATATTCAATAATTCCCTGAAAAAGACGTCGTCTGGATGGCAGCATATGCTGCCAAAACATAAATATATCATTCAGCTTTAATGGTGCCTTCAATGATGTGCACATCACCCACACCATGTGCACTAATGCCCCCCTATACCATCACGAATACTGGGTTTTGAACTGTGCACTGATAACAAGCTGAGGGGTCATAACCCTGGAGGACACAGTGTCCATGATTTCCAAAAAGAATTTCAAAAGTTGATTGGACCACAGGACACTTTTCCACTTCCCCTCAGTCCATTTAAATGAGCTCGGGCCCAGAGAAGGTGGCAGCATTTCTGGATCCTGTTTATATTTGGTTTCTTCTTTGTGATTTTGGTTTGCACATTATTGCGCATTTTGTTTTTATTTACATTTTGCACAGCATCCAAACTTTTTTGGAAATGGGGTTATATAAGGCTGGCTAACAGTTCTATGTTACAGCCACAAAGTGTGAGATTAAAACAACATATGAGTGAATTGTGTGAACTCAGTAATCAAAAAGATTCTCCATGAAGTTACAAACCTTCATGGAGAATCTCAAGAAATATCTGTTTAATTGCTGTGGATATTTGCTGGAGACATTGCTGTGGGAATAAGAGAAAGTAACCAAAACATGTCCTACTTGAACCTGTTTAACTACTTGGTTGCTTTTTTACTTGTTAGGTTGAGACCCGTGCGCCACTACTTTTATTTTACAGCTGTGTTTTCAACTTAAAATGATTGGAGATATTATGTTTTAGATTAAAACCATTTCATTTATCAGTTTTCTTACACGTTTTTTCCATGTTCTCTCCAGATAAACACTCTCTGTACTACATTTACTCCGCCCTCAACAAAGATGTCGCTCTACCAGGGATCTATGAGTTCACAGCACTGGGTCTGCTCGATGACCGGGAGATCGACTACTACAACAGTAAGGAACAGGTTAAGGTTCCTAAGCAGGACTGGATGAAGGAGAAGATGCAGTCAGATTACTGGGACAAAGGCACCCAGTCTCGCAAGAGCAAAGAGCAGTGGTTCAAGGTCAACGTGGACATCCTGATGCAGCGAATGAGACACCCAAATAATACCGGTTAGTTTCTTATAGCTCATTCTTCTTAAAATAAAAGAATACATTTCCATTCACTGTATGATTCCTCTGGTTTTGAGCAGCTAATGTCTTTATCTTCACTGTCTTGTTACATTAACTCAATTCCAGACCTTCACGTTCTTCAGTGGAGACATGGCTGTGAGATTGATGAGTCAAATGGACAGGTAACATTCCTAAAAGGCATTGATGAGTACAGCTACGATGGAAAGGAGTTCCTCTCTTTTGATGATGACAACATGCGGTGGATCGCTCCAGTTCCAGAGGCTCTGCCAACCAAAAGGAAATGGGATGAGGTGCCCATCCTGAACCAGTACACCAAGGGTTACCTGGAGAAAGAATGTGTGGACTGGCTCACCAAATTCATGGAGTACAGAAAAGAATCACTGAGAAAACACTGTGAGTTCCCAAAGTCCCAAAGTATATTTTTCTAGTGGCTTATTTCCTGAGATCATCATCATCGTCATCATCATCATCATCATTCTGTATTTCAGCTCGGGTTTTCATCAAGGGGGGCCCTCATTTACAGTGTAGCCGAGAGCCACAGGAAGAGTAAAATAAAACACATAAATTAAGATGGAGGGGTCGCTGTGTCAGTAAAATATCTTTGAGACTGGACGCTGTATCTTGACTCCAAAGTGTGCAACATAGCCTGAAAGCCCTGGTTCTCAATGACTGAGAACGGAGGCAAATCCATGGCAATAAAAGTTGCGATAGACTTTGTAATTTGATTCGGAAGCTCTGACATTGCTTGCTTGATGGTCCTCTGGTTGGCAGCAATTACAACCGGAAGGAAAACGGGTGGAAACGTGTAATATGGTTTCTCGTTTCCAAAATATTTAAATTTTGTGTCACACAACTTGTATACACTGTGTCTCTTGTCCAGGTCCCTTTTCCCTTCGACTTCATCGAAGCCAAAGTGCTTCCATATGTTAACTCAGGGGTCGGCAACGTGCAGCTCTTTTACTGCCCTGTTGTGGCTCCACAGCAGAATTAGATTTGTAGGTAAAAATAAAATAATCCTCCTTTACAGTAAAATAAAGCTGCTGATCGTTCAACACAGTTTAACAATAAATGGTCTTAAACACTGCTAATTTACCACCTTATAATGCTGAAGACTGGCGTGCAGACTGCAGTTCACATAGCAACGCAGACAGTCTCGCCGAGCTAGTAGCGAACAAAAAGGCAAAGAGACAGATTTCAGACGAACATTTGGAGACGAATGGACTTTTATAAGCGTTTAAAAGCAGCGCAGTTGGTTTCCTGGTACGTTAAATGTGCAACGAGAGACTGTCAAAATAAAAAACTTGCGAAGCTGAGGTCAGCTTCTTTTTCTAATTTTCCTGTTCCACCTTAAATGGTGTTGCATTTACATTCAAGCACCTCAGGCAAAATTTAAGGTGGACTGGGAAAATTAGAACAAGATGCTGGTGAATAAGAAGCGACTTCAGCCTCGTAAAACAGTCGAACGTTGAGAGACATTTTACAATAAGCTGATCTAGTTTTGAATAAAAGTTTCCTGAGGAAAAGGGGAGGAAAGCGGCTACAGCTAAAGCTTAAAGCAGAGTTTATATTGTTTAGCCTAAACTAGGACATTCTCACACACTGAGACACACTGGACATTAAATGTTGTGGCTCCCAAGCTCGTTTTATTTTCGTTGAAAGGACACAATGGCTCTTCTTAAAATTTGGGTTGTGACTCCTGATCTAACCTGGCTTTTAATGCAGAGGGAGCCGGTCAGATTCCTCGCTCATCCAGTTGTGTTTTTGTTATGTGCCCCACAGACTGTCTGGGAATTTGTGAATCGTCCACGTAAGCATCTCGATGCATCTAAGAATCTATTTTTCTCCACCCCCAGTACTTAAACTCATTTTCTCCTTCAATAGCTTTGAGTGCTAATCACAGGAATGCTAAAACAATGCTTGAACCCAATTCCATCTTTCCAGTAAAAGGATGGACGATTCCAGAAGAGATTAAAATCGTCTATAAAAGCCATGATGGTGGACAGACAGGTGGAGGTTTAAAATGCAGCTAAACCGTCCTGCACCCTTTCCTAAAGGTGGGATTGGGCCAGAGATAAAAACAGTTTTTTAAAAAGTGAACAAACGTGTAAAATCACACTCTCCTATGTGATCACAGCCAACATGAGTAACTACTTTCTGAATAAATGATACTTATCAAGGAGGCTGGGGAGCTGCTGTGTGATGTCAGAGACCTTGGCACCTGAGCGGGAGTGGGTGACTGCTGAACGGTGTTTGATATTTCTCATGATTGAGTCCCCTACAGCCAAGGTGGATGGAGGGCGAGTTGCTCTGTCAGAGTGGTCCTGTGGAGTGGAGGGGCGAGTCGGCCGTGTCGTGAATCCGTGTCGTGAGCAGCGGGGCCGCTGTGTGGGGGCCTCCCGAGAGGGTGAAAAGCGAGGCTGCTGATCCACAATATCCAGTGAGGAGACACGGTGAGGGAGCTGTGTCTCAGTGTTCAGTAAAGGGAGGCCGCGTTCCTCCCTGCAGGGAGGAGGGGGGCAGCACTCCCTTGCCTCAGCAGTAACTTGCGGAGGTGGCGGGGCCACATGGTGCTTGCTAAAACCCGGCGAGGAGGCCTGCTGCTCAGCGTGGAGCCATGGAAGAGTATAAGTGTGGACAGGAGAAGAAGGAGAATCATCTTCCAGCTCTTCCAGAATCGTGAGCTTGTTGCTCATTTGCAGGTTTCGAGGTAATGGGTGGCGGGCAGAACGGCTACCACCGTGCAGACCACCTCAGACCACGGCTCTGTTTGACACGGGGTGGAGCAGCTAATTCCCTTTGGTCTCTCTCCCCAGCCGAGGCCAAGGGCTGACGCCAACCTGGAGTCCAGCAGTTCCTCGTCATCTTTAATTTGATAAAGCACTGAGATCCTGCCTTCCAGTTCAGTAATCCTTTGGGTCAGACGAGCACAGCTGGCACATTTGCGTGAGGAGTTTAATGGAGGCTCAGTAGTAAAAGGTTTCAGATGTTTAAAAGCAAAGATTAAAAAACAGTTCGGCTACACTGAAAACAAAATTCCCACTAAAAACAAAACTCCTGCTCTCTGACATGCTCACCGTCACTCACTCTGACGTGTTCTGATGAGTCAGCTGTCCTCAGATTTTTTGCAAGAGGTAGCTTTAAAGAAAGTGATGATTGGTTACAGTAGCGCAGAAAACGTGTTACTCCTCATGTTTACAGGTTGTTTGCTACTGTCTGGTAGTTAACTCTGCGGAAGATGGTAACGGGCTACTGCAGGAAATTTTTGAAACTTTGTAAAAAATGAAAAACAGTGTGTGTGCATTTCATTTATTTTTCCTTTTTCAAAACAAAAAAAAGGAATTTATTGCTGTCGTTTCAGCCAAACCAGATGTTCATGCATTTGCAAAGAAATCTACAACTAACTCAGGCAAGCTGACCCTGACCTGCCTGGCCACGGGCTTCTACCCCAAAGACGTGAAGATGAGTGTGAGGAAGTTCCGCACTTCACCGCCTGAACATCTACTAAAATCTTCAGGAGTCAGACCCAATGAAGATGGAACCTACCAGCTGAGGAAGAGTATGGACATCAAGGTGGACGAAACAGCAGAATATGACTGTTTTGTGAATCACAGCTCCTTCGCACAGCCAGTAATTACAATATGGGGTAATTATATCTGTGTACCTAATGTATTTCTGGTCTTTTATAGTTTAGAATTAGTTTCTCAATGTAAATCTAAACCCAGTTTAACAGAATGGCAGATGTGCAGAGACTAGACCCAAAACTACATGATGAGGGCAGCTTTAAAGTATTTCCCCACTTCAATCAATATTAATATTGTTGTAAATGAGAACAAGGTTTTCAGGAATGATGTCTTTATTTGAAGATGTTCTGTTAGTCTGTTAATCAAAGCTCAGCTTTGCTCCAACAGTTCGCTCTAGGTTAAGCTCACGTCTTACTCTCTCAGCCCTCAGCGCTACACTGTCTAAGTAATTCCTAATCTCCGCCTCCATCCTTATAGAAAAACACAGCAAATAAATGCTTTTTTTCAGTTTTTAACATCATGATGAATGCACCAAAAGAAACGGCCCAGTCTGGTTACATTGACTCAGTCAACGTAAAGTATGTTTTTTCCCTCTCCTGTAAAGTTATAATTTTGAAGATTTTGTTCCGACAGCAGCGACATACATATGTACATATGTATGTGCACATACTTTTTAGAAGTAGCTGCTGCTCGCAGTTGTAGTCGTTATTTTCAGTAATTTCAGTGCAGCCACATCTTCAAAAATAGATTAGCTAAAAGGGAATTCCAGGGATTTTTCACAATGTCTGCAAAATTCAGTGTGTGAGCTGTAAACAGAGTGGTTTGGTGTGAAATGGTTCAGATGTCTTTACAGTGGTGGTGATAGGAACCAGGGGTCGCCATGACTACAAAACAAATATAGACATTTTATTTACTATCCAGAACCACCAGTGAAGCTACATGAGTCTTTATTTATATGGGATGATAATGATGGTAAAATCTGAAATAGTAAGTTTTCTTTTGGAACTAATTTGCCTCACAACATCCTACATGTACCTCTCTGACCTTAATAGATTCAGTATGTTTAAGGCCAAAATCTTCTTTAAACTATCATAAAACAGTGCCTCAGTCATCAGGCAGTGAATTCATAACCATGTAGTAACTTTCTGTGAGGGAGCTTTTAGAGGTGGACGTCTGGTTCCTATCACCACCACTGTGAACAGTTTGTCTAGAACAGAGCATTTCACACCAAACCACTCTGAATGACTCTGTTTACATCTGAAACTTTTTTTATAGAGGAGTTTTGAAAAATCTGTGAAATTTGCCTTTAAGCTTCCAAAGTGGTTTTATTGGGAAAAAATATACATAAATACATCATTACCATTATATATACAAAAACTGTTAGAAATCTTAATTGTACTGTAATATTATTTTTTTCACCCCTAGTTAGAACTTATCATTGTTGTATATTTTCTTTTTTCTTCTTTCTTTAATTTTTGCTATTATCTGTCTATTCTAGTTACTTTTTCCTTAAATTATATGTTAAATTATAGAATGCCCAAAGACTGATCACATGGCTAGCAGATGTCCACTTCCTTTCCTGAATTACACTTGAGGGGTTCTTGTCCCACACAAACAGCTACTTGTGTGGCTTTACAACAGAATGTATGTTGCTACTGTTCCACAGGAGCCACCAAAGCTGAGCACTTTTCATACAGGTACAGAGTTGGGTTCTGTCACTGGGACCTGATGGAGGGCTGAAACTGAAGGAGTCCTCTGTTAAATCTCATACAGACTCCTGAGTTCAGTACTGATGCAGAAGACAACCTGCAGTAGTACACTAGACTGGGATTGGCTGTGACTAATATTTGTAGAGAATAATAATGTTTTCAGTAGCTTTATGCTGGTGCAGTATTGCAGCGGGTTGAGCAAAATGTCACCCCTGCAGATGAACGATAGAAGAGAGTCCACTTTAGATTTACTACGTTTTCACTGTCATGTTAGAACAAAAATATACAGCTCTGTGATTTTTGTTCAACACCGTTCTGTTTACAGACAAACGCTGCTTTGACTGCGAGAGTTCAGGTTCAGGAACGGTTGGAGGAGTGATTTGTGGAGTGGTGGTGCTTCTGCTGATTTTGGGTGGGATCATCTTCACCCTTATAAAGAAGAGGATAATTGGTGAGTATAGACTATATCAGTACAAACTGTGCTCAAAGAATGAAGATTAATTATTGAAAATTGACTACCAAAAGAAAAAAGCCTCCTCAGGCTTCCACCTCAGCATCTTCATCCTTAAAATGAGATGCACAATGACAGGAAGTAGCTTCACCAGGGACATGTGTGGTTAAGATCTTGTCATCAGGAAAGAAAATCTCAGTGTTTATTGAAAAGTTACATTGGGGAAAAAAATAAAACAACATTGATCACAAAGATCTCATCATCATAAAGCCAACAATTAAGAAGAACATGACTGAACTTCTAAAATGACATTGTTTATTTGATGGTTTTTTGTAGTGAGGTCAGTCTTTTTGCATTTGTCATAGCTTAGCATCAAATATTGTTTTTCCATTATTTTGACTAAACAAAAATATAAACAATAATAAAAATGCAATTCTGAAAACCAAACAGCAGTTAATGTTCATTTTACATGTACATAATATTTTTTATTTACCAGGCATTCCAGGTGCTGTAAATGCAGCGCCTGCTCTGCAAGCCCCGCCAAATGGTCAGTGTCATTGTGATTGTGTTGCGCTGTACAGATCACAGTCATTTTCATTTTTCACTGTATTGAGCAACATGTTTAATAAAACCACGAAGAAAACTTGACAATTTTTACATATAACTTCTTCTTCAGGTGTTCCTGAACCACTCTTACCAGCTGGTAAGTTCTATTAGATTTTCATTTTTACTCAGCTAACTCTACAGTAGAAGCACTAGTTCACTACTAGTACAGCACTGCTGTGACAGCAGCTACGGCTTTACTGTTATATAAGACTGTAATGTTGCCTGTTTTAAAGCTCTTTTTTCTGTATTATTTTCTTCCAATAAACTGAGACAAATAGCTTCTCAAAGGCAAAGCAATGATAGATACATTGCTGGGTTTAAGACATACTAATCACACAATGTAGCTCTTTTTACCTATTTTCATTCATATTTTACTGAACTCTCCTCCAGACCGTAAAGCTGGTGGTTCTGACTCCGGTTCAGACTCCGGTAACGATGTTCCACTTTAAAAACATTTGAGAAAAGCAATATTTGGAAATAATAAATGTTTCTCTGTTCACTGTAACTCAGTTGTGATGTGGCCTTATTGTTTTTTTTTCAGGAAAGGAAACTGGCTCAACCAATAGCAGCAATGAAAACGGCGAGGGTGGAACATCTGACTCTGGTAATTTTTCTCCTGGATAAACATCTAAAAATCTCAAGAGATGCTTTTCCCACAAAGGGCATTTAATGTAGTAACTTTCTGTGAGGGAGCTTTTAAAGGTGGACGTTCGGTTCCTATCACCACCACTGTGAAAGTTTCTCTAGAACAGATCATTTCACACCAAACCACTCTGAATGACTGTTTACATGTGAAACTTTATTTGTAGAGAAATTTTGAAAAATCTGTGAAATTCACCATTAAGCTTCCAAACTGATTTCACTGGGGTAAAATGTACATAAATACCCAGTACTGTGACACTGTATATACAAAAACTGACAGAAATCTTAATTATACTGTGATATTATTTTTTCCACCCCAGTTAGAACTTAATATCATTGTCGTATATTTCCCTTTTTTCTCATTTTTCTATTATTTTTGCTATTATCTGTCTATTCTAGATACTTTTCCATTACGTTTAATTATAGAAGACCCAATGACTGATCACATGGCTAGCAGATGTCCATCTTGAGGGGTTCTTGTCCCTATTAGTGGCACAAACAGCTACTTGTGTGGCTTTACAACAGAATGTATGTCGTCCTGACATAATCCTCAATAGATGAACCAATAGCTGTGGATTAAATCCTCAGTATAAAGTCCTGTTTAGGAAACCTGTTGGTCAGACTAGGTTTTGGTGGCAGAAATGAGCAGCGTGCTCTTCGAATATGGTCATCGTTCTGTGAACCCTTGTCTCCTGACCTCTCGCATTTGGCAAAGAAAAAGATTGTGATGTGGTCTTTTTGTTTCATTTTCAGGACAGGGAACTGGCTCAACCAGTAGCAGCAATGAAAACGGTGAGGGTGGATCATCTGACTCAGGTAGGTACAAAAAAAAAACGTGTACAGTCTGAGGGCTTTATGTTTTAGTGCTTTATCACATTCTTTTGTGATTATACATAGTCATCACTGTGTGTTTCTAATAAAGTGGCCAGTGAATGGAAGCACAAGATAGGTGTTTCTAATGAAGTGGATGGCGATAATACATAACAATGATTTAATCTCTGTTTCACAGGGAACTCCAGGAGGTGAATTCCACTGGGACTGAACTCCAGATTATCCAGGATTATAGAGATGAAACGATATTAAAATTTCATATCACGATTATCATGACCAAAATTATCACGATTATTGGTATTATCGCAATATTGTTCAAATGTTTTGAAAAGTAAAATAAATTTTAAAAATAATAAATACTGATACAACTTCTATATTAACACAAATAGAATTGGCAGCAATATGCACTTTTTGTTTGCATAAACATAAAAAAATTAGGTCAATACATTTTTAGTATTACTTTTGTATTACTTACAATACTTGTAATACTCTGTAAACAAAAGAATAGCAAATGTGTTATTATTATTATTATTATTATTATTATTATTATTAATTACAATAACTAGGGATTTCCCTGCATAGAGAATTAAATCGCGACCAACTCTGAGGTGGGTCTTAATGGAAAATGACTACTTCTTAGAAGTGCTGCACTCGGGGGATTTCTGTCCGAACTGCAGCTGCAGCATTGTTGTGCCGTTGTGGCGCTGAACCCCTAATCAATACAGTGCACCAGGAAAAACAGCCAAAATCACAGAGGAACTGCGTGACCGCGCTGTGAGCTGCAGACAGTGTAGAACTCACACAGCGTGTCTTCACCTGTGGAGCTGCTTCTCTAAAAGCATTTAAAACTAAAACATAACTTAAAATTAACGCGCATCTGAGCTGCGGCAGAAACACTCCTACAGTTTAATCTCTGAAACTTGCGTTTACTCGCGCGAGGTCCCGTCTCAAAGCACACTATCTTCCCTATGTAGTGCACTTCGTGGATCATGAAATAGCAAAGAGTGCAGGAAATGTTCGACTAAGTCATCTATAATCAACATTAACAACAGGCTACAAACTCTCTATTTAAACACAGCTGCTGGTTAATGATGATCGTGTTTGAACAGTAGCGCCCTCTGTAGGGGACACTGAGTGATTTGAGACGGTGCTATTCTCCTCTCAGACAGTAAACACTGCAGGCGAGGCGAGAAAGGGGAGCTGTGCAGATTGAACCTCTGCAGCGTCTCGTTCCAGAGCTCGTGTGACTCTTAACTCAGAGCTCAGAAATGTGTTAAAAGCTTTAGTTTCGATTCACAGTTGATTCACCGATTGTTTTTCTTTTTTTTGTTTTTTTTTGACGCTAAAAGCTTCATTTTATATTATTAACGAACCATAAGCGCAAGTTAAACCACACAAACCGTGACATTTCTTCTATTTAATGCGTTAAAGTTAACCTTGCATTCTTGCAAGTAGGGGGTGGTGGTCGCGAAGATGACTCGTAAGGTTTGATGTGTTGCCCCCTTTTGCCGCTATTTTCTTTCGGCCTGTTCTGCAGACAGGGTGGTCATCTTCACTTTCCTTCTGCATCCTTATAAAACCCAAAACATGACCAAACGTCAGACTTGGTCTTCTTAGAAGGCTGAAATATCTCCGAATCTCCGAGTTTTTCACACCGCGGTAATCGGCCGCAGTTTTAACGATACTTTAAAGTTCAAACGGTACTACTAACCGTCATTAATTTTACCGCGGTTTACCGTGAAACCGGTAACCGTTTCATCTCTACAGGATTATAACCCTGACTTTTTACAGCACAGACTCTTTTCCGTTCATTTATTAAGTCAGTACTTTTACAGCACTGTTATGTTAAAGCTGCACTATGTAAGATTTGGGTATGTGGAGACCTCTCTGCTGGAAATGCAATTTTGTAACATGGGTCTGCGCGGGGCTGTTTTTTTTAATCCCGTTCACAACACGGAAAATTAGACCTGCGTCACAAGATGTTGAGGTGGGTTCTGCAGAAATCCACAGGATTGCAGTCTTCTATTTCAGTTATAATCGGTAATGCTACCGATTATAGTTTCAACAAAAAACATTACATAGTGCAGCTTCAACAGAAATCCCCCATAATAAAAACGACATTCCAGTACTCATCTGTTAATGATAAACATAGAGTTCAAAAATTCAGAACCATCAAAGAACAGTTGAATATTTAGTTCTTCCAGTGTAGTACAGTGGATCTTATTTTAAGCAACAACTCAACAAATTTAAAAGCATTCTGATTTATGAATAGAAAAGGATTAATTAATTGTTGTAATTAAGGATTATTAAGTTTAATAAGTAACAGAATGCATTTATAAGGCAGATGGTAATGTCTATTTTCTTTTTTTTTTAAGCACAAGTTCACCAAAGATTTATAGATTTAATTTATAAACAGAAAATTATTCTCTCCATTCAAGTTTTTTATGAATCCCTTACAAGCACTCAGTAAAACATCAATTTTCATAAGCTCAGATGTTTAAAGGTGGTTATGCAGAGTCCAGCTTTTTAAACTATTAAACTACTTGTAACACCAGCTTCGTTTCAAAATCACTGCATTTAAAGCGTTAAGACAAATCATGATCATATATTGTGTTTAAACTCAAGGCTGTACAGGGCTTATGAATGTAACAGTACTCAGGAATGTTAAATGGTCTGTGTTCAGTATGGACTCTACAGAGAGGCTGTGTCTGTATAGTAAGTCTTGTGTTTAACACAGTATAGTGCTGGAAGCTGTCAGCTAGAACTGGTAAATGCACAGGAAGACTGTTATACTGAGTGATGTTAGCCGTCCACTTAATGAAGTATTTGAGTCTCTAATCTTGACGACCTTTTAGAGCAGCAGCGGAAAAAATAATCTCAGTAAAAGATCCAAACTGAACAAGCTGAATGAAACTAGACGGAGCTTTCTGGGGACCTTTTATACAATTTACTGTTTACATGTATTAACCGTATTAAACATTTCAAAAGTGCCTTAATGTTTCATGATTCAGGGGTTGTATTACAGAAACTTCTTAACTCTGAAATCTGATCTGTTTAGTCCCCATGACATCTCTCTCAAGTCTCTCATGCTGTCGTGCAGTTAAATTTACAGTATTGCAATAAAGCTGTTAAAACTGCTGTTGTAAACTTTTTTTGTTTTTATTATCATTTGTATTGTGTTTGTATACATCTGTGTATAGTATGTTTACTGTACAACAGACATGATGATGCAGCTGCACTTTTTAGTTTAGCTGTGGTTGAGAATTCAGTCTGCCAGTAGATGTCACTGTGTCTCAGGTTTAACTGAGGTTTATCTTAAGCCTGATGAAGACGTATGTATGTTCCCCCCGTGTCTGTGTGGGTTTCCTCCCACAGTCCAAAGACATGCAGTCAGGCTCAAGTGCCCCAGGTGTGTGTGTGTGTGTGTGTGTGTCTGTAGAGAGGTACCACTCTAATGTTTTCCAGGTTTCTCAAAGACTAGATGGCGCTCCCAAACGAGTCCAAATGGGGGGGTTAATATGGAGCATTTGAGCAAAATCATAGTTTATAAATGCTGAAACATTTTAATGTAAAAGAGTTCATTAATTTCCTGAACACAGAACAGCATAAAACATACAGGTGAGGTTTCTCTGTTCTTTAGTGAAACTCATCCTCTACTGTCTAAAACTAAAGGACAGTTCTGGTTCAGTGATTAGAAACTATTATAACTGTTCATTTTAGCCGTTTAGCTCAGTTCATCCTCGTTCATTGAGGAGTCGCTCGCGGGCGCCCTCTGCTGTTCTGTCGTCCTGTTTTTGACATAAGGGGGAAACAGGAAGAGGCCAGACTCCTCATTAACCTGCTCTGGTTAAACCCATTAAGTTAGTGGTTTAGCTAAACCTGTGTTAAACTGAGACTAAACTGCTGCTAAACTAATATCAGAGCCTGATAGTTCAGCTCGGGCTCAGCCTTAAACCACAGTACTTATATAGTTACGCCGTTTCCCTCTTACCCACCCGTATTCAGGCACAGCCGTCCTGCGCTCGGTCTGATTGGCGGACTGCTGGAGAGTGAAGGGGCTCTTAGCTAATCATGGCGCAGGAGGCGGGAGTTCTCCCGAAAACGGGCGGAACGAAAAACAGAGTAACGGTAAACTAGCGGACCAGACTGACACCGTAGGAGAGAGGAGAGTCAGGAGAACCGACCTCTCTCAGCAGAAGATCATCCAGAGTGATTTTACTGATCTAGGTGGTAAAGGTGGTGATGGGGGCTCCGGCAGTCTGTGTGGTCTTTCTCAGTGGAGTGGTCGTCTCTGTTCTCGGAGGTGAGTCAGTTCAGACCTACTGTTTCTGCTCTGCACAAAACCTGATTAACTGCTAGTTTAGTTTCCTTCAGTGTCTGGACTGGATCTGACGCCCCTGTAGGATAAACTCTGTTTAACAATTTAAAACAATTTAAGGATTAAAATGTCATGTAAAAGTTTAATACTTTATGATAAAAAATAATGTATTATGTAAATGACAATGTTTAATTATTAATTCCAAATTATTATTTTTAGTGCACAGTTTCTGTTTATTTGCTGAGTTTAAGATATTGGAAAAAAATGCTATGTAAAATGTGCCATAACTTTTGCACAGGCCACAGTTTGTGTTGTTTTTTATCCCACTTTGTTAAACTCAGTTAATAAACAGTAACTGTGTGTTAGATGTACAGCAGTGTGTCTCTGTAGAGGACGTGTTTCACTTATTTACACTCAGAAAATCAACAACAACATGGAATTTGACTGAGGCGCACAAACTTTCTCACATGACTGTAGTTTACTGGATAAAATTGATGACATTCTTTAAATGTGGTCACTACAAATAATTAGACCCTATTAAATGTTGATTAAATGATGAGCTCGGCTGTGACGCTGCTTTGATGTTCATGAAGAGCTTTTAGATATTTAGGACTCCAGGAAGACGCAGATACAGTCAGCAGACACGGCACAGAGCAGGAATAACAGTCCCCCTTATTCTTATTGATTAATAAATTATATTTGTCCTGCACCCATATGAAATGTATTTCCCTGTCCTTTCATGTGACGCCTGACAAATATCAATAAAAGAACAAGAATACAGTATTTTCAGTTAAACTGAAGTACATTAAAGCAAAATTCTGCTTTCAAACCAGCATCAATTTGAATCTTCAGCCCCCGGATGTTTAATGTGGTTAAAGGAAAGGTGATGTAACACAGTGGTAAACCTGCTCCTGTCCCAACTTCTTTGGAACATGTTGAAGGCTTCATATTTGGAATGAACGGATTTTTACAGAAACAATGAAGTTCATGAGATAAAACATCAAAT